AAAACAAATGGATGTTAAAGTCTATGAGTGGAATTATACAAAGAAAATTAAACAGTCAAAAGAGCTAAAAGTATATCACAATGTACAGTTAGAACAGCTGTATCTGACTTAAACATGGTTTATGCGGCTGATCTGCATATTGCATGTCCATGTTGTTTACATTTTTTTAACGAAACTTGAATGAACATTCTAACAAAATAGATTGAAACTTGTAACATAAGTAACAAAACTATATGAAAATAACAATAAAACTATGTGAACAGAAAAAGAAAGTTATAGGAAGAATATTATTATAATATAACACTACGAAATAACCATTAAATATTTTGTTTTTAAATTTTATTTATAAAAATGAGGCATCCCCGACGGGGAATCGAACCTTTGTCTGCTGGGTGACGGTCGGAGATACTGACCACTACTCTACCGAAGAGATGTGTGTGATCGAACTTTGTACTTTATATTCATTAATTAATTTATCACATTCTGTGAATAACGTTTAGCGTTATCGGCAGACCGAAATCTGTGAATAACGGCGAGCGTTATCCGCACAGCTCTGTGAATAATCACTTCGAAAGAATAAACCCCTGAGCGTACTTATGGATGTCGCAAAATATGATTATAAAAGAAGAAGGTTTTCTTGTTGAAGTTGAAGCGCATAGGCATAGAACAAATATTAAATTAACAATTTCAACAAGTTATGTTGATATTTTTATTGCTGAGTTTCGTTGACGTTATTCGACAAAATTAAAATTCCAAGGGTCCATTACACACAGATCCTAAGATTATTATTTTTAACTTTCATATCAAGTGTTCTCAGTCGTAAAAGTAAAGGGTTGCTACGTTTTTTTGTTTTTTGTAACTGAATTTTTTTTTTTTCACCTGTGTTAGGTCTTGGGGTATCAGCAAGGATGTGTTTCTTTTTTCCTTTCTTTTGAAACGTGTAAGTTGAATTTTAATACAAATTAATGGAAAATTTCATTTCAATATACTTTATATTAACCGTATCGTTTATGACGCGAGTAATGCTCAAACTCAATAAAGAACAGGAATGTTATAACTTAAAACACATCGTTCGGGTCCTTCAAAGAATAGGTCTATTCACAAGTCCAGTGTTGGGATTCCCCAATGTGACGTCGCTTAGGGTGAGAAAACTCTTGGCAAAAACCCATACCGTTAACTCAAGTTTTAATTAACTAATTAACTTGAGTTTGGGTTAGTGTCACCTGGTACAGTAAACTGTAAACTCATAACTCATGTCGTAGCCATAGTGTCACCCACCCTTTAGGGGGGGGGGGGGGGGGGGGGGCGACTTCCAGGATGGATTTGTTATTGTTAAAATAAGTCCACAGTATAAAAAGAACAGAAACAAATTAATTAATCGTTAGGAGTTAAGTGTATTTAAAAACTGTAACAATGTTAAATTATAGTTATTTTTATATTAAAGTCACTTTATTTAAATTTTTCTTTCCTGGTTTTCTAAGCTGCAAAGCTGTCAATCCATTGGCCTTGACCAAAATCAATGACAATATCCTTATCAGTAACTCATCATAGAAAGAGGTTAATTTTGGAACGACACCAAAACTCTTCTTTACTTACTGATAGTAGACTCTTAGGTTGAACAGCACTAACATATCTGCTACTTCCTTGATCGCTGATGATCTGATCTGGAGTTCAGAATGAAAACATCATCTTTACATTCCATTTCATCATCTGGCTACTGTTTTCTTCTCACAGATAGAGCCCAGCATCTATTAATTGTTCTCCTGCCTTTCACTTCTTAAACCTTAATCTTCTCTCTACAAAAAATTCCATATTGGTCTAATTTTAAAAGTACCTTTTCAATAGCATGTTCCACCAAGTGACAGGCTTCTCGTGCAGAAACCATCTTAAGGCCTCTAGGTTGGTCACCTCTTTGGCAAGAGTAAACCCTTTGGTATAGTCTGCAGATACTTCCGTAAAAGATTAACTTCCTCAAATAGATCAGCTCAAAGGTAAAGGTAGCAGATAAACATGAAATCACAGACAGCATGTAAAAGACCTTCTTCTATATTATCTTTAGGGCCCACTATCAATGTATTGATCTTTCTGGCTCTTATTTATGGAGAGGGATTTGCTATTTTTCTGTGCCTGGTTTTGAAGAGGATAATTCTCTAGTTGCAAGGGAATGGCTACAACAGGAACTGGGGGTTGAAAGGGCTGAGGCAAGAGACAGACACAAATGAATCAAGTGTTTTCACCTTAACTGTTCATTTTGGAAGCTTGTTCCAGTCACTGATTGTCCTTGGCATGAATAAGCAGTTCCTGTGCTGAGTTCTTGCTTTAATGAGCCGGGACTGCCTGTCATGGCCTCATCGCTGTCTAGGGGGGAGAGGGGCGAGTTTCTGTTTAAAACTGGAGGAGTGGACCAGTCAATTTTTATCTTTTACATCATGGAGAGCCTGGATAATTGTCGTTCTTCCAATGGTGACCAATCCTGTGTTTTCAGCATACTGCCAACACTTGAGGTGTTCCTGTAGCTGTTCAAGACAAAGCGTGCTGCCTGTCCCTGGACCTCCTTCAACCTGTCGATGCTCTTCTGGGTGAATGGGTCCCAAACTGAATATGTGCTATCTAGGCTTTATAGGCTTTTTCTTTCACACTGTGCTGTATGACAACTGTGCTCTAATGTTAAGGGGCGGAACTAGTGACGAATCTGCGAAAATATTAATTTGGAACATTTTTGGGTTTCGAAATATATGCAGCCCTATTTACCCTCATACTCTTAAAATCGTAAAATATCATCATAAAATCGTTCTATACACTATATTTATTGTAATAAATAAACATACAGTAAATACAATCTATATACCTCAAAATTGTACATTGTATGCCAAAATCGTATGAGTAAACAGGTCTGTATATGGTTTCAAAAACATTTTTTTAAAAATTTAAACAAATTTTAATTAATTATTAAAAGATATTAGAATAATTTGTAAAATATTATTTTGTTAACCCTATAAATCCGTAAAAATTCATTTTTAAATGTTTTTAATTTTTACCAATTCGATTGATTTACTCAGAATTGCCAAACCATCTTTGATATCAAATGGAAAGCTTTGTTTCTCAGAATTTAAATAGATATAGCTTTCTGTCATTTATGAAAGTTAAAAAACATTTCAATCGCTGTTGAATAATGGTCAAAAAGGTTTTTCTGAAGCATCAACATTGAACTTTTAATAAAGCACGCATTTGGATTGGTTTTACGTGTGGAACATTTAAGTGTGATTGGTTATCCTTTTATTAAATTTGGTTGGACAGAGCAGTGTATGCTCTGTAGATATGCAATTTTTTAATTGGGTGTCACCCCTGAGATGGTGTCACGCGGTACGGTCCGCAACCCCCCTAGCTATGCCACTGTAACTTAGTATATTAAAAATGATGAAGGGCTAGTGACTAGTCCTCAGAGGAGCTAGAGGCCATCTATATAATATGATATATCATAATATATGACATGACTCATGATGACATGTTATTTTTGCAAAATTTATCGCCCCCCTCCCCTAACAACAAAACAGGATATTTGATACCCCCTCTCCCCCCCCCCCCCCCCAGCTCTCCGCCAATGCCCCCCTCCAGATGTGTGACATGATATATGATTGGCCCCCTAATCATTTTATTTTTTTTAAACTGACTTGTAGGGCATGTTAAAAACTAAAATTTGAATATCAAAGAAATTGTTAAAAAATGAAACAATTCTTTTTAACTTCAAGCCTCATCCTTGAGCTGTAAAGATAGAAATGGACGCTGATACTGATGTAATTCTCCCAGCAGCTGGTACAAGTGAAAGGATGAAAAATTCTATTGCCAAGCAATTTCTCAAAATTCTTGGTAGACACATCATTGCATACACAGTTGATTCTTTTCACAGGTGAAAACTATCCCAGTAATTTAATATTTACAGTTCTTTTTCTTCTGTAAATGAGGTTTTAAAGATGGGTTAACAATATTGCACTGCATTTTATTTTTCAATAACAACTTTCTTTTTATTTATTTTTTTGTGTCAGGTTAGTGTACAAAACTTAATTTTAAATTTATGATTTTTTAAAAACACTTTATTAATAGTAATAATCTTTAAAGTTAATATCTTTATACTAGGATCCCACGGATTCGTCACATTATCATTACTGTCAATTCTAACCACGTAGAGTCAACTCAGAAGCTAATGACAAGCTATGGTTTTGACAAAACCATTGTGACGTCTGGGGGCGAAACAAGACATAGGTCCATATTTTGTGGTGTGAAGGCTCTGCAGCAACTACCAGGTGAATTTAACAACTTAGGTTTATCTTTATATATCACAATGTCTACTTAAAATCGATCAGTTATGATTTCATTGTTATGTATGGACTCAATGCATATATCTGAAAGTACATTTTTAACTGATAAAAGTTATCTGCTTTTTTTTTTTTTTTTTTTTTTTTTTAAATTTTTTTAATTTTTTTTGGGTAGCACATTAATTCCAATTAATTGCAATTTTTTTTTTTTTTTTTTTTTTTTTTTTTTTTTTTAAATCTTATTAATTTATTTGAGGTAGCACACTAATTCCAATCAATTGCAATTTTTGTTATTTTTTGTTCAAATAATATTGGGTTTATCTATGAAATAAGTGACTACGCAAACTAAGTTGAGAGCAATGTCACTTCTTAATGTATGTTTCTCCATTAGGCTATTCAGGCTCCAGTATTGTTATTATCCATGATGCTGCTCGACCGTTTGTGCCAGAACATATCACTTTGAAAGTAGCCGAGTCAGCTCATTTATTTGGCGTAAGAGAAACTTTACTTACAATTTTTAATTACTTTAAATCAATATAATAAAAACATGTTGATTTTAATAAAAGATTTGGGAATATTTTATGAATTCACTTAATCCATCCTTGCAGATTAAAATATTGATCTCTATTTCAACTTAATTCTGTACCAAAGAATGTAAAAAAAAATGTATTGTTCAATCTTTAGTACAACTTAAACCTACTATTTCCTCCTGCTTTTAAAGTTTTTATTTTACTGCTATTCATCTAGTCTTGTCATCAACAGAATTTTTAATATCTTTTAAAAAAAATTAAAAAATAATTTGAATATTTTCTTACCTTTTTCCCCAAAATAATTTTATATCATTAAAAAGATCAGTTTCTTCTTTTTTAAGGCCGCTGGAGTGACAAGGCCTTTAGTTTCAACAGTGATAAGGGGAGGAACTGATGGCAAATTGACAGATGCACTAGACAGAAGGCTTTACAGAAACAGCGAGATGCCTCAAGCTTTTAGGCTGGACATTATAGCAAATGCTTATGAAAAAGTAATACACATTAGTTCAATGTCCATTTAAAAAACTATGTCAGAAATAACACGGTAAAAGATAGCTAGATTGCAAGAGTGTTCTGCTCTATGGCATTGTGTCAAAATGAAATTTCATCTTAAGTTTAGCATAATTTTAGAACTGATGCGTAACAGAGTAAATAGTAACATATACTAGCAGGTATTACTAATCTGAACCTATGCGTTATTTCAAATTATGAAATAATGCAATTGTTAATTGCGTTAATTACGACATTTCATACTGTATTAGTATTATACTGAAAAATTATGAATTATTGAGTAATCTGATTATCATCACGTGAGATGTTGGGATCAATGAGCTTGTTAGGTAAGGTTTCTAGAATCAATAATTTGTGTGTTTTCCATTCTTGTATAATTAATTCAGTTTTAGTGAAATTGTATATAGGGATTAGATAAGGAGAGTGACTGCCAGCAGAATAATACTCATATTTAAAATATGTATTGCAGAGTTCAGAAGATGATTTTAATTTTGGAACAGAATGTTTACTGCTAGCAATGAAATACTCTGACTGTCAAGCATTCTTGGTGGAAGGAACGGATGATTTATGGAAAGTAAGAATATAAGAAAAATAACTTTTTTGAAAATACTGTTTGAGTTTGATTAATTTGTAATGCTCAGGAATAGTTGTTCAAAAGAACGAAGTTGTTTCAAATAAGTACATATTTTATAAAAGTATGTTATGTATAGGGGTCTCAGAGAACTAAAACAGCTGTTCACTTTTGAATACCCAGTCCTGAATTAAAGTTCTGAATGATTTAAAGCACTTTATTATTTATTCACATGAAGGTTTAAACTAATGGCATTTAATTTAATTAATTCCTTTGAACCATAACAGAATTATGTCTACTCTAAACTTAACTTGAAAGTTTTTTTTAACAAATGTTGATTTTCATGAAATTATATTAAAAACAAAGTTTTGTTTGTTAAAACAGGTAACTTACCAAAAAGATCTTTACTCTATGGAATCAATTGTGAAAGGTTGTGTTTTACACTTTTAAGTTTAAGTGCTTTTTTTAAGAGCTGTTTCACTTACATGCTATTTCCCAAAATGAGCTATAGCAAAAAATACGAGTTACGAAGTGTAATACATATTAATCAACTAATTTATTTCATAAATCTTTCCCAATTATTATAATGTTAATTCTGATCTATTAAATTTAAATTGAATGCTTTTATTTTTTTATATTAGTTTTCCTTTCCTGTTTACAATTAAATACAATTTTCTTCATTTGATTTTCAGAAAAATTTACACAAGTCTCAATCATAAATATGTGTAAAAGAAAAAGACTGACAGATATTGATTTGTTAAACAACACATTAAAAAATTTGCAGTTGAAGGTTGGTTTTCTTAATTTTTTTTCCTTTTGGATATCAAATCAATTTTTCAACACCAAAATTCTTTGTGACTAATGATTTCATTTTTTTAAAACAAATTGTCCTCCTTTCCACTGTTTAAAATTATACAATTTTTTTATGAGCATTCAAGCAGTTTTTTTGTGTTATTTCTACCCACACCTGTCAAATTATTTTCTGTTTTCAGGTAACAGACACTGAAAAAGAACCAGCCAACACATTTGTTATACTATTGGAATCTAAAGCTATCCCTGATTTACAAGAACTAACCTCCACTATATCCCACACTTACAGCCGTTTACCAAACTCTGCTGTGAATCTCAGATTATATGTCCTGTTAGTCTTTGTATGGAACCCAAGCTCTGAATCTCAACTCGCTGAAACTCAAGGATTAAAGCAATTGACTAAAACTCCTGTCTGTGTGTTAAGTTATGGTGAGTGCCAACCTGAAACACACCCAAAAGATGCCCAGCTTAGCGGCAGTGATGTGATAAGTCCTGCAATAGATGTTGTTACAACCAACGTTACAAATGAATCTAGAGAAAGAACATGCTGCGTTGGTGAAAAGAGGAGACTTGATTCCATGGTGTGTGATAAAAATGCAGTGCCAGCTGTCAGTGATGTAGATAAATTAAAAGTTAATAAGCCCACTTCAAAGAGCTTGGATAATTTGGGATTGTGTTCAGCTGTGGTTAAACAAGTGAAGGAAATGCTGGAATCTGAAAGTTCTGGTGATGACTCAACAGTATTAGGGATTTGTCTCAAGGTGAGCAACATTCATGAGATGTAGTTAATTTGTATGCTATGAGACTCAATGTGCCCCCCAAAAAAATAATTTCTACTTTTTTAAGGGAATACACTAATCCAGGGTGTTGTAGAAAAATGGGAAAATGCAAATGAGCGGAGTGTATTCCAAGTCACTACTTTGGCTCAATAGAAAGGCAAGACTGTACTGTTTCCTTTCAAAGTCTGAAGGCCTATTTCAGTTGGATTTGACCAAAACTAATAACCCCCTAAATGGTGGGTGTCCATCTGATAGATAAATGGTTGAGAATATGTATAACATTCAGCCAAATGAATGATTCAGACTACTAATGTGGTGCACATTTAATAGTTTCCTAAATATGAAGGTTCACATAGTAAGCAAAAAATAAAAATAAATTCATGAAACTGAGCTATCTTTGCTTTTTGGCATTATTTTACAGTATATTTTTAAAGAAAAATTGCTTACTCATATTTAAAATTTAAGTTCCTTTCTTCTTATTCTCCATTTAAAATTATGAGCTTCAATTAAATGCATTCATTGTCTTTAACTTAAACGATGCATATATTAAAATTAGAACATTCAATATTTTCTTTTTGACAGACAGATTTCTTCGCATCAGAACAAATTTCAGATCTCATTTGGCAGAGGAGTTCAGGTTTGGATGGTCAAGTTCTCATCTATTAAAGTTGTATTCATACAGATTTTGATATGTGGAAACCTCTTCCTGAGAGGGGCAGGGATAAACTCTCTTTTGTTATGGAGTTGAATTCTCTTCTCTGGGACCTACTGATGCACATGTGTAAAAGGAAAACTAGTTATGGAGTTGAAATCTCTTCTCCGGGACCAACTTTTGTGTATAAAAGGAAAACTTTATTTCAATTTTTTTAATAAAGTTTTATCCTAGCGTACAAAACAAGTGCTATTTTAAATTGTACCAGTTTTGTGTTTAATGATTGTGAGACAGGTTTAACAAGCCTTAATTTCTTTTAGGTACAATGGCTAACCATTTGATATTTTTTTCCAGCTGCTGATAGACATTGAATATTTATTAGGTTGATTTAATGAATCTTTAAAAAAAAACAAAAAAAATATAAACCAATGGTTTCAAGGTTCTGTTGTTTTATTCTTTATCAATATCATAGGCTAGCAAAGACACTGAAAATAATTATTCCTAGCAACAACTAATGAATCATGACATTTATTACAAAACATGGTAGTTTCTTACAAATCTATTTGTCAATTTTTCTTACATATTTCCTAAAGGATTTCGATCAAATTATGTTCTTTTTCCTTCAAATCTAAACTTTCAATGTTCATGTTTATTGTAATTTGTAGCTTTATGTTTAAACATTTAATTGTAAAAAATACATACACAATATTTCTAAACAATAAAATGAAGAAGAAAAAAAAATCCCAGCGAACAAGCACATATTGTTTACCTATGCAAATAAAGTCAATGTGTTCTTTTCTTACATGTTACAAGCCTTATTAACATAACAGTAACAATTAAATAGACATTCAAATGACATCCTTGATGACCACCAATAACCGGTGGTCCCAAAACCAGGCTATGTTTTATGTTATGTAACAAAGATAAATATAGTCAAATCATACAATATACAATTGCCAGTACAATAATCAATGTAATTAATTTTTTTAGGTATTTAAACTATAAAAAAATATGTTTAATGATCAAGAAACTCCTTTCATCATGCTAAAGAAAATTTAAACTTTATTTTTTTAAATAAATTATTAAGAAATAAATTGACTGCAGATCCCTCCATTTGAAACATAAAATATTACCAAAAATCAATCCCTGTAACTTGATGAACTTTTCCTTTTTTTAAAATAGGTTAAATTACTAATATTAATAACATTTTTAAATTATCACAATAGTATTTGTCTCATCCTATATGATGTAAACTGTTACAAACATCTCGTGACATGGACATTCATTAAAGATTTAAATTGAGAAAGGTGTAAACTTAATTTAGACTGTTTTAACAAAGTCTACATTTTACATTTCTTTCATTAAAAACATTCATTTTCGCAATGGTTTAAATATCTAACGGAACTGGATGGGACTAATGCGGAGTCCAATACAATCTTTGCCTATTTCTGTCACCTGTAAAGTGAAACATGTATATTAGCTTACATTCTGATTCATTTCAGCTAGTTAAAATTGGACTCAATTATATATCACTGATGATTATGTGTGTATTGATTGAACTTTGGGACCTGATTGTCCTGTGTTGTTGTCATATTGTATAAGTGGACCCTCTTGAATTGTTTTCATGAATGTTTAAGCATAAATGTGTGAATATTGGTTGGAGAACTGAAGTGAATGATCATGTGATATGGGGTATAAAAAGAATGTGGAATGGTGAATTAAGGTTAGTTGGTTAGAGTTGGTATCTTATTATACTATATTAATACAAAAACGGTATTTGAGGATTATAAAAATGTAAAGTAATCTAGGACTTGATCAAAAAAAGTTTCCATTAATTTTTATGACTTCAAACAATTGGTTCAGACTAAAGCAATAATTTACACATTCATTTCTTTTATATTAAACCTTAAAAAGTTAGCTCAAAGAAGATTTATTTTTTATTAATGAAGTTAGTAAGTCAATCTAGGAGCACCAATGAGCTTACAGATAAATAGGGGAACTTACCTTTGATACTCTGCACACCTGACCTTTAAACTCTGGCAAGTAACAAGCCCCACTCAATGGACACTTGACAACTGGTTTACCCCTAAAGAAAAAATAAACATTACATAAAAGGCACAAGTCTTTCTCTACTTGTAAAATTAAGATTTTAAATCAAGAATATACAAAAATTAAGCTTACATCTGTTTAATGCACACTGTTGAATTCTGTAGTCAAAGTTAACAACAGATAATCTATGGATTGATTCTACTTTTAAGTAAAAGCAGCTTGTGAACAACAAATAAGTACAACAAACCTATAGATGGGAACGTAAGAAGCTGCGCAGATATCAAATGGATTATGCTGGTCATACTTCAGTTCATGCTCATCTGTGGGGGTCTTTTCACAAGCAGACAAAATTTTACGGGTCTAAGAGAAAAAAAAGGGATGTTACACTGTCAAAAGGTTTGTTACACTGTCAAAAGGTTTTTATTATTTGGAAATCTTTACAAAACAAATTAATTAGATACGAACAATTTGTGTCAATATAAATCTAACAATATATGTTAACCCTTTACAGTCCAAGCCTATTCAGCTTTTTCTACTCCCAACGATCAAGTAGGGAACAAAACTCCATTTTAAATGAAGGTTCCTTATCTAATTAATTTACAGAAAATAAACTAGAAGCGAGAAAATAAAATTTAAAATACTTAAATACAAAAATTTGATTTAAGTAAAAGTTGCTCCTAAAAACCCTCCCACTTTGATTTGTTTAAAATTCCCAGACCACTCATGATCTTGCTCATCAGTTGGAGTGGAATTGATAGGTCCGTTGTCATCGATGTCTCTACTATTACTATTATCTTCTTCACTTGAATCACAATCACTTGTAGCATCATTTAAATTAATTTCTAGATCAGATTCTTCAATATAGCTGCTAGACTCATGAAATAGTGAAGCTTCTATAGGAATAAGTTCTTTCAAAATTTTATCCAAGGTTTGGAAAGCCATTTTTACAGTGCAGAAAATCACAACCTTTTAAAAAAATGGTAGAAAATGAGCCCCTAAACGCACCACATTGAAACTAGTATCAAAATAAATGCCGACAACGAGGCTTTCTACCTGTAAAACTATAAATAGTAATGCGCAATGGATTTCCGCTGTATTAAGAACGAACGTAAACAACCCCAAAACGGGCGGGTTTGGCCGCAACAGTCTGTAGGCTACAGACTAGGCTCAGTCTGTAGGCTACAGACTAGGCTTAAGGAAAAAATTTGCGCATTTCGGGCGCATCAGACTGTAAAGGGTTAAGCTTTGATAATAATTTAACATTATACACAGATAGACGTTTCGGCACATGCCTTCATCAGTATAACAACAAATCATTTAAACCTTCATCAGCATAACAACAAAACAATTAAATAAGTATAAATTAATTTTACATAATATATGTATACCACCAAAAAAGGAGAAAAAAATTGGAGTGGTTGCAAATACCAGACAGAAACAAAGTAAAGAAGAATGGAAAGCACTTTTACAAAACAGCCAAGGCTTTCAGAAAAATGTTATTAAAGGAAAATAAATTTTGACATAAAATCACAGTAATCTTATGAAAAGTATACAAAAACTGGGTTACCTGAAACACCATTAAAATATCTCACATAATAATACAAATGTAAAAGTTTTGCTATTGGTTTTAGTTTTAGTGTAATATTTTTAAGTCTTTACCTGCTGGGCAATATCAGGCTTTGGTCCAAGTTCTAATAAGCGGCGAGCAAAAGAGGCTGCTGTTTTGTAGTTCTTTAATTTAAAAAACAAATTCAACGCTGTCCTCAGAGTCAGGATGAGGTGGACAGGTTGCAGGTTGCAATGTGTAAAATATGCAGCCATCTATAAAAATAATAATAATTGGAGCTGTGATAACTATCCAACATAGAAGTTATAGATTATTGTAATTTATGTCCATTTTTAAAACATGATTTCCCTGATCTGACCTTGTGAAGGTTTCAGGAATGGGTTAAAATGATGTATTGATTTCTTCAATAATAAATGAAAACAGATTGTAGACTATTTGAAACATGCCTTCCTACATTCAGTTTCAAGGTGGTTTCTCTTGTTAAATTTAGCTGATAAATATATTGAAACAAATCCCCATACCTCACAAAGCCTCTTCTGCTCCTCTAGTGTGGACTTGGGCATTTCTTTTCTAGCATTCTCCATGCTTAAGCCCACAATATATTCTTTACAAATTTCAACAAGTTGTTGGGCCTGCAGATTAAGTCATACATATCATATTGTGATTATGATAGCAATAAATAAAATGCAAAATTCAAAATAATGCATGGAGTTTAAGATCAATGAAATAATTACTTACCGGTATTAAAAAGCTAAAATACTTGGAGCACAAAAAGCACCCCAAAAAAAATGAAATTTCTTTATAGCATGTAAGAATTATTTAATAATTTTTGTACATACCTCGGCTATCTCTTGTTTGGAATCCACTACCAGTAAAGGTACACTAAGAAGGATTGATCTGAACTTGTCAATGGCATCCCCAAACTTGCCAGCAGTTGTGAATTGATATGCTACCTGCAACTGTTGGACCAATGCTGTTAGCTTCAGGCCCACAGCTGGCACACCATTACGTGCCCCAGCATCTTTCCTTTGAACATAAAATAACATCATTATAGAGGTGTGGAAAAACTATGAGAAATCATTTTTTGGGGGGGAAAATAGTTTGATAATCATGAACAGGTTTTGATGAAAGGTCTAGATACCGGGTCAAAGTAGTTTTAAACAAAATTAAAGCAAATAATTCTTTAATTATTTAATCCACAAATGTGTAATAGTATTAAATGGATAATAATTTCTGTTTGATTAGTCAATTCTTGCCAGTAATGAGATTGATCTATTTGTCTACTATAAGTTTCTAGCTATCCATTATATTTCTGAAAACGAATTAATGAATAGAATAGCGCAAATATTATAAGAACTGACCAATTCCTGTGTGGGTAGCAAAACAAAGGCGGAATTGATGGCAGGCCCACAAAAGATGTCCTTGATCTGCTGTATGATTGTAGGAAAATTTGCTTGTATTCATCAAACTTGACAACTCCAATTTGGTCATGGAGCAGCTGAACATAAGTAGATAGACAATTTCAAGACTTCAATATTACTGTTAGAATTCATTGATGCATTCTATAAATCATATCATTACCCTCTTACAATGTATTTAAAATCAGAAGGTGCAAACTGAATACTAACCCGAAAGGCTGTTTCAAATGATCCAGCTAGAATGTGATCCACAGGCAACTGTGAGTTATTGCACCACACCTGTTGACAATGTTATTTTAATAGCGTTGAGCTTTTAAAGATTAATAGTTAACATTATTTTTTCAGAAAATCTTATAATAATTAAATTTAATACTTAAATTTTAGAAAGCCTTGCCTTCATTTATTTGAATTTTATGAAAGTTGCATTACATCTTTTAGAAAAATAATTCAAGTTCTTTGAGCACTTGCCTATCAAGCAACCTACCTGTGCTTGGCTGGTTCCTTTACTGGGTGGCACAAAGTAACCTTCTTCACCAGCACCTGTAGCTGCCGCCCCTACATCCTAATAGTAAAAAATAATTTAAATGAGGAGAGTAATAAAAATATTAAACTATTTTTGTTTTTTTTAAAAACAACAAAGGCTCCCAGATAACAAAACAATATTACATAATATTTTATATGGCAATGAGAAAGTGGTAGCCACCGGTAACCCACACTTACCAAGTCCACAGGAAGTTCCAAATCTTCAACATCCCAACCTCCCTCTTCTGTAGCCACACCTTCTTCATCCAGACCCTCTCCAAATCCTCCCTCTATACACATAAAAATGCACACAAAAAAAAAAAAAGGTTAAAATATAATTTTAAACTTTCAACAATGTGAATTTATACCAAGTCCACAGGAAGTTCCAAATCTTCAACATCCCAACCTCCCCCTTCTGTAGCCACACCTTCTTCATCCAGACCCTCTCCAAATCCTCCCTCTATACACATAAAAATGCACACAAAAAAAAAAAAAAGGTTAAAATATAATTTTAAACTTTCAACAATGTGAATTTTGCACTCAAGGACCAAAAAAAATAATTAAGTTTTTAACAGCCAGGGAAAAAATATCTTTAGATTAAATAGTGTTAAAAGCTTATATGTATATAAATTGTAAGGATTTTCCCCCACTGTGTTTATTCCTTCAAGATTGCATACTTTGAGATCGCATGGTACTGAACAACTCAACAGTTTAAAAACTTAAAATTTTAAAAAATTAACAATGAACTGACCTTCATCTAGGACCAGAGCCTCAACGTCATCACCCCATCCGCCACCAGCACCAACATCATCATCATGTAGGGCAGCTGCCGCCAATGCAGATGGTTTGCCTTTCATAAAAAAAAAAAAAAAGAACACTATTAACACAGGGGATATTGTTGCTACAATCACTACAATATTTTCAGATGAACCTGTCCAATATCTGGGGTTATAAAAGAAACTAAAGGTTATGTTATGAAGGTTATGTTATGTTTAATCCTTTCCGTATCGTTGCAACCATTACGAAATTACCTTCAATACCAAGCAATCGGAAATGGCTCAATTTAGAACAAAAGTTGTTGATTATAAAAATGTTTAATTAAAAAACAATCTTTCATTCAGATAATAAATAATATTACTGATAATTTTAGAGATGACATTACATTTTAATTCAAATAAGTGATCTAGAAGGGCAAACGACATAATCTACAGTCAACAAAGCACTATTTTTAAAAAAAATAGAAAGTAGCAAAGAAATAAAGTGCACAGCCACCAAACCCCAACAAAACAAGAGCTTGAGCCTTCCTGTTTATAAATAGGCTCTTTGTAACTTAAAAATACGGAGGCAACTGAAAGGCTTAAAAGATGATCAACTGGTAGAAATATTAACCATTTAAAATCCCTAGATGCATTTCTGTTTGAGAGGGACAATATTTTGGGGTTAGATGGACATAACCAAGATGTGTGAACTTGCTGAAATATATTTTGTCAGACACGTGCAGTAGCTCATAGATCTAATCATAATCAAAAGCTAAATGCAGTATAACCAGATGATGGTTGCAATAAGTTTAAGCGAAAACAGACTTCAACATGTACTACATTATTCACAAATATATATGGAATATCATCATGGATTCAAAGAGAGGCACTGCTAGCACTGGAAATAGAAAAAGATCACATTTTGAGCTTTTCTTTTTTCTTTTACAGGATCCAAGGGTTTCAAATGGTCTGACAAAATTATGTTAAAGCTAACAAGCAAGTCAAGATTGAAACAAAGTTAAATGACAAAGAAGCAGTTCATACCGTTGAAAGAAACTGAAGGACTACAATAGTCACAACAAAATAGGGGAAGACAAATAAAGAGGACAGACATTACTAAAGATGAGGATGACTACCTCCTTTCGCTGCCATTGCTCCTTCAAAGAATCCTTTAGACACAGTGAGTAGAGGCCAGTTGGATTCTTGTTGAGTAATGGGGACTGGGGGCTGGAGCAGTGATGCGCTAGGGTACAGATCAGGTACTCTTTCCCCTTCACCAAATCCGGATTTCAACTCCTCAGCTTCTTCTTCCAGTCCATGTGTTGCAGCAGTCAGATATGCCAAGGACTCTACAGAAATAGACAAAGATAATGTAATACAAAAAGCTTGAATACATTTTTTAAAATCATTGGCTCCATTTGTCAGATAGCTTAACGACTGTTTATTCAATTTATGACTTAACCTTGTAAAACAAAGATTGTTCAAAATACCCAAAAAATCCAAATATTCGACATTTCATAGAAAATTAACACATCACAGATATTTAGAAATTTTTTAATGCCTCAATAGAACTTCTTTTTTAGATTTGTGGAGAAATGGAAGCTTTCCATGGGTTTAATTAGCAAATAAAAATGTTAAAATTCAAAGATCCTTAGAGAACACATGGCCGAAATGCTGCAAAAAACTTACTTTGTCCACAACCTTTAAGAATCTTGACTCTCTCAGTAACATCTCCCAGCAAGAGAGCATTCTGGTAATGTCCACTTGTGTCCTTGCGGATCTCAGCTGCAAAACATTAAATAAAAATTAATTTTATCTTTGAAATGCTGTACTTTCTACTCATTCAATCGATGGTTATAAATAGAGCTGTCAATCACTAATAAGTTTAGTTAGTATGAACAAAGACATATAATCTTTTCAAGAGTTTTTTGTTCTTTTGAGAATATTAAACATTGGTAATCATGTCCTTCTTGGCAACAATGTACGATTTAAAGGTGTAAGCTTTATTCTATCAATGAAAATTAAATCTGAAAGTGTAATTAGGATTGTATCTTTGTGGCACCTGTGTGTAAACTGTACAAGCACTTAATCATATAGAATTTAAAACCATTTGTCTCTGTGATAACTAACCAATGTATCAAATTTACATATAGAAACAATAATGTAAACTCAAACCTATTTTCATCATCTTTCTAAGCTTCTCCAAGTTGCCAGTAATCAAGTACAGGAAGGAAAGCTTGTCAAAGTTTTTGGTCTTCTGGTACGCCATCTCAACAATCTGATGGTTGCCCTGCAATAATGCTGCCTCACCCAACTTCTCCCAACAAGCAGCATCATCAAGAGCTTTGGCAGCCTCTAAGGCAATCTGAAAAATAAAGAAATTATATTTTCCAGTGACAACACAAGAACATACAATTAAAATTACAGATTAATTTTTTTGTAATCATCATCTCATCAGCTATCATCAACACTTACAAAACTTTAACAAAAATTAAGTCTCTATAAATTTAAACTGATCACTGGAGAAAAGCAAAGAAAATATGGCATGTTAAATAGGTGAGCAGCAGAAATGAAAACGGACCTCGATGTTTCCACACTCGAGTGCCAGGCCAAATCTTGTTTTCTCATCCTTGACAAAATGCAGAGCCACTTCTGGGTATCCCTTCTTTTGGAGATAAGATATGATGGACTGGCCTACAAGTTTGGCATGTCTAACCATGTGGAGAACCTGGATAAAAACAGATGGAGACTTTATCTTTTTGTAAAAGGAAAATATACAAAAAATGTAGAGCAATACCTAGCACAAATGTTACATATCTTTTCATTACTTCCGGGTCAAATGAACATGCTTGTTTTTAAAGCTAATTTCACAGAAATGCTATAAATTTGTATGACAAACTTTTTTTTACTGCTGTTCCACATATGTGCTAGAAAACAGGTTGAAGTAGTATGCACTTTGTAGGGCATTTATGCTGTAAGTTTAATGATGAGGAATATAGTGTTTAATAACACTGATACCTGACAGAGAGAAGTGCCTTACCTCTTCATATTTTCTGTTCACAAGGGCCAGCTTGAATTTGAACTCTGTGGGGTCAACGCTGAGAACTCTGGGGCGACACTCCCTGTCTAAGCAGTAGACTGAGTTGCCTTTGATACGAGTAATGTAGATTGGCAGGTCCAGTGTTCTAATGATTCCATGATCGCTGAAAAAATAATGGCTAGTTAAACCTTAGAATCTACATTAACCAATCAGGATCAGTTCTTTAGAAGTATATAAAGTTGTCAGGTCCAGATTAATCAACTTTTTTGTTACCTTAAAATGAGTTTTAAAAGTTATTGGAAATAACTAATGTTTACACTATTATTTTATAGTGAATGTGGCCAAGAAAACAAATCTTCCATGCAGCTGTTTCTAATTTTTTCTAGCAGCTTCTAACAACACACTGAAACTGATTATTACAATTGTGTAATACAGAATGATATTTCTTTAAATACATATTTTGAAAAAAAAAGAAATTATTAGTGTAAAATATTGAATTAGACAGCAGTCCTGTGTTACTTTGAAAATAAAATGCACCCTGTTCTTTTTTTCCTTCTTTTTATATTACTTTATTATAAAATTATAGCCTGTACCAAAGAACCCTGTGGAAACTTCTTTGGCACTATGGGGTACTATGAAAACTAGTCAGGATCATTCAGAGTTCTTATGAAGAAATGACTTGCAGGGTGGTACACAAGGGTAGACTCACAGATGCCTTTAAAATAGAAACAGGAGTCTGGAAAGGATGTCTCTTGTCCCCCTTCCTATTCATCCTCTCCATTGACTGGATAATGAAAAAATCAAGTGACAAAAAGAGGAATAGGATAGAGTAGACACTCTGGGAACAACTGATAGACCTAGACTTTGCAGATGGCATTGCCCTTCTGTCCCACAACAAGCAACAAATGCAGAAAAAGGTTAAATACATAGCCACCATTTTAGCACAGTGCGGGCTCAATATAAATAAAGCAAGACTGTAAACTCGGCCAACTGAGTGCATATCTCTATGGCAGGAAATGCACTGGATGAAGTGGAGGTATTCACATACTTAGGCAGCACCATTGACATAAATAGTGGATCTTAAGCCAATATCAGGGCTAGTATTGGAAAGAATAGGTCAGCATTTATGCTATGAAAGAAAATATGGGAGTTAAAAATGTTGACTCTGAAAAAAAAAAAAAAGAAAGTCAGAATCTTCAACATAAATGTCAAAACAGCCAGTATTATGCTACACATAAAGTACAGACCTTGATATACACTTGTCTTAGAAAGATCCTGAGGATCAAATGGCCAAACACCATTACCAACAAAGACTTACTCAAAAGGACATACCAGGAGCCTATTGATGAAGACAAAAGCAAAAGATGGAGGTTGATAGGGTACACTCTCTAAAAAAACCCAGGTAACATCATGAGACAATCCCTAACATGAAATCCACAGGGATAAGAGAAGAAGGCCTAAGAACACATGGAGACATGAACTAGAGGTAGACACACAAAGTATGGGATACACCTGGAAGCAACTGGGAAGGAAATCACTGGACCGAGATGAATGGAAAATATTGTAGATGGCCCATGCCCCAGTCGGGGTAAAGGCATAAGTAAGTAAGTTATTATAAAATTTGATTCACCTGTTAAACTTTAAAAATGCTGGTATATTCTTTTCATTATTCACAATAATCTCAAACCTACCCATTGGTGAGTGCATATTTAATGTGATTAGATGTGGTGTAGACAAACACTCCACTCTCATCCCAGGAGCCAGACTTAATGCGAATGTTCTCATGGATGGTGCACAGGTTTTCCAGTTTACGATTGCAAATTGAGATAACTGAAGAAAACAAGACCAAAAAAAAGCCAATTAACTCTATAAAATATTTAACTTGCAGCTCAGTTCAATCAGACTAGAAACATGGATAAACTAAATACAGAAACTTTATTTGCTTTCCCTCAGAATATAAAATCCAATTCAAGTATCATTTGTACAGTGAAAAAATCAAGCCTACAAAAAGTTCTGGATAGTAATGAAAATAAATTCGAAGCTGGAAACTTACTATGTTTGCTGATCAGAGCTACAGTTGACATGTCATTAGACCAAATGACAAACTTCACCTTTGAAATCTTGACAGTAGCAAGGGTTCTGAAATTTAACAATTGATAAGATCCATACAAGCACCTTTTGTAAGTCCAAAGAAAATAAGTAAGCTAAGGTTCAAATAATACCAAAAAAATAAAAGTTACAATAGCTTGTCATTATCTGCCAAATCAAAAAATATATTCATAAAAATTTTATGTAAGTACAAAAAAATAATAATACATTAACTGACACTCGTTTTTAGGGAGATAAGTTTAGTTGAATTAAACAGTTGAATTAGTTTAGTTAAATAGTGAAGTACTTTTTAAAAAGCCAAGTTCAAAAATACAAATATTTAAAAACTTGTCAGCTGTTCATAAAAAAACAAACTAGCTGTGTTAGAGGTTGGTTAGCTTACCTTTTCTGTTGGACATCAAAGAGTGTGACAGCATCAGCCTCTTTCAGCAAGAGGCAGCCAGTTCCAGCGTAGAAGATGTCTTCACAGTTGGGAGCTTGAACCTTCTTGGTTATTTCATTTTTCAGATTTTTTATTATGATCTGTGGAGACCCAAGAAAATATTTGTTAAAACTAATGAGCTAATCACACAAAAATGCAACAGTATCTTAGCTGCAGGAAACTTTCTGATATTTCAATAAAATAGTAGCAATGTTAAAAACATTAAAGAAAAGACCAGGGAGCTAAACTTAGAGATTTAGATTGACCAAACTTGTTCCAGTTCAAGGCAGACAATTCTTTGACAAGGTGGGATCGAAAAGAAAATTAAATAAATCAAGTGCAGACCTGTTTACCCTCAAACTCCTAAAATCGTACAATATCGTCTCAAAATCGTACAATACAGTATCTTAATAGTAAATACATAAATATACAGTATATATAATATATAATGTATACAGCATCTACTGGTATAGCGTGTTCAGTGGCATCCAGTTCAGCGGTTTGTTAAAAAATGGAACTGTAAGGTAATCAGTATTCGACTGACGTTAACTGCAAACTGCGGTCACTTCATTTTGAAGACCTGCATCTGCTATAGATACCTCCATGTTTGTTACCTCCATAAACGATATATTTATTTTTATCCCACCCTTTATTTTATTTGTGTATTCCCTATTTCGAAGTGTACTTGTAAGAATTTCATCCAGGAAACCCTGGCGAAAACCTAATATGACATATGCGCCGGGAAACAAAATTATAAGAACCACTGGCGTAGCCCAACGAAATATGCGTCACACGCGCGCTGAACACTCATGACTAAACACAACTGTAACTTCTCTACTACTGCTAACGAGTTTATTGGTGAAAATACATCTTGACAACATCACCGCAATAATTCCTACAAAACATCGGGTGGTATTTTACAGCATTCGAGATATAAATAGAATGCTATTTTTGGACTTTCAGAGTTAGGAGATGAATATTGTAGACTTTTTAAATAACGTACGTTCTTTCTGCCGAGGAGCAGGCCCCCCCCCCCAACCTGTCATTACGGAAATGTCGCGGTGTTGATTGTATAGATTTAAGTATTTAGACCCACGCCAAACCCAAAATTTCCTAAATCAACACCACTCCTTTTGTCCCTGATAGATTGTTCATGAAAAGTCCGACTTGCAGATTGTGTAATTGTGCAGTGCGCGCATGATGGACCATTCGACGAAGAACGCAACCCAGTCAATTTAGTCTGATATTCAAGCAAGACTATCTGCTGATAAACTTTCTTTTTCTGTTGTTGAATCGGATGTTTATCGGTAGAAAGAGAAGTTTCTTCTTCATCGCCCATTCCGCGAGCCTTTCTTTTTGTCGAGGTCATATCGTAAAATACTAAGTGAGGTCAACTACGGAACCGAAAACAAGAATGATTGCCGATTCCATTAATGATAATGGTAACATTAAAATCACGCAATGTGCACATAGGTCAATGCAGCCAAATTCTAGCGCCAGAGCTGTTTGGACAGCCCATATATAACATTTCAAATAAAAATGAAAAAGTTAACAATGATTCCTAGCTCGCCCCCAGCTGCACGCCTTGCCAACTTAAAGGGCCATCCAAATATGACTTACTCGCTGAGGATGCGTATGAGTTTTGATTGGGTTGGAGGGGGGGGGGGGGGGCACCAGAATGCACCTACATGTAGGCATAAATTCTACAATAATTATCCTGATTCCTGACAGTCTCTTATAGAGCCAACTGTCACATGAAAATCTGAAATCCACGAATTCTAATTAGGTCTATTATTATTATTATTAAGGCTATACAAATACCACAATGCTTCGCATTTATCGTATACCGTATACTAATGCTTTGTGTTTTCATAAAGAGGTCGCTGTAGTAGTCATATTTAACACGACATAGTGACAACACACTAGTCCACTAACACGTATTTCCGTGCTGGTGACGAACCCACCTTCCCCCACCCTCATTAATAGGAAAAACATAGTGCCCTCGCCTATCCAATATGCCCCTGAGTTTTTACGTTCACATACTAAAGAGCAGTGGTCAGCATACTCATTGGTCAAAAGAGCCCAAATCAGCAGCAGGACCATTAAACAAATTTTGCGAGCCAAATTTATTTTCAAGAACCTGTCAAGGACCATGTTTTTCGGAGTAAAAACCGCTTTGTAGTTGACTGGCCGAGCCGCAGTCTGGACGAGCCGCGGCTTGCCGACCACTGCTATAGTATCAGAGACTAGTAACTACCACAAGCTGTAAACAAAAATGAGGGGGGGGGAGGGGCACAGTAGTAGCAGTAGTGATACAAAACTGTTTAATTGTATTAAAATCGTTGAGGGGGATAGAGTCAGAGGCGTAGCGAGGGTGTTTGGCGCCCGGGGACAAGATCCATTTTAAAGTGCCCCTTTTTCTTTTTTTCAACTCTCAAGCCCATTATTTTCATCAATAAAATAATATCAAAGCACATTTTGGCGCCCCTAAACAGGGTTTCTTTCAGCTATATCTCTGGGAGGGGGGGCAGTGCCCCTCCCCCGGGGAAAGCCAAGTGCCCCCAGGAGCAAAAATATGTCCAACAATAAATCAACTGGAACTGATGGCACTGCCCCCCCCCAACCCCCGAAAAATCTGAAGTAACCCTTCCCCGAAAATCTGAAGTGCTCCCCCCTGGGGAAAATTTCTGAAAGAAACATGCCCCCCTAACTAGCTGGCGCCCGGGGAATCTGTCCCCTCCTGGCCCCGCTCGCTACGCCTCTGGATAGAGCTGCTTTGCGAGATCTAAAATATTTTTTTTAATGCCACTGACTAAATCTCACACTAGAGACCGACCGAAAGTGATTTTCTGATTTCGGCCGAAGCCGAAAAAAGGACGAAAGTTTAAAAATGAATTTTGGCCGAAACCGAAAATGAAATATTAAGATATTTTGAAATTCGTTCCCGCATACATTCTGCTTACATCGAAAATGATGTGGGAAAGTATAAATATTTACATTCTTTTTATAAAAATGAGATAATCGTAAATATTAATAAATAAACATCTAATTTAGGGGTCTCAAACTCGCGGCCAGGGAGCCATTTGTGACCCGCAAGACGATATTTTGCGGCCCGCTACATGACAGAAAAGTTTAGTGTAATTATTCAGACACTACCTCCTGTGCCCCCCTCCCCCCCATAATTTGAGTTTGATACCCTTGATCTAATGAATACTTTGGATTTTACCATTTTAATATAAAAGTAATTTAAATTGCTTTACAATTTTTTCAAATTTGTATGGTAGGAGAAAATTTGGCAAAAATTGGGGATGGGGATGGGGGGGGGGGAGGAGAGGAAATTAATGCAAAATATTATTTTTTTAAACCGGGTCTCTAAAAATATGGTTCTAAAAGATCACTTAATTTGTTTTTAAAGATCGTTTAGTTGGTTGTTATTGATCGGTTAGTTTGTTCTTAAAGATCGGTGAGTTTGTTCATAAAGATCGCTTAGATTGTTCAAAAATATCGCTTAGTTTCATCTTAAAGATCGCTTAATTTGTTCTTAAAGATCACTTAGTTTGTTGTTAAAGATCGCTTAGTTTGATGTTAAAGACCGTTTAGTTTGTTCTTAAAGATCGCTTAGTTTGTTGTTAAAGATCGTTTAGTTTGTTGTTAAAGACCGTTTAGTTTGTTCTTAAAGATCGCTTAGTTTGTTGTTAAAGATCGCTTAGTTTGTTGTTAAAGATCGCTTAGTTTGTTGTTAAAGATCGCTTAGTTTGTTGTTAAAGATCGTTTAGTTTGTTGTAAAAGATCGCTTAGTTTGTTGTTAAAGATCGTCCAGTTTTTGTTAATGATCTCTTTATTTTTTTCTTAAAGATCGGTTAGTTTGTTCATAAAGATCGCCTGGTTTGTTGTTAAAGATCGTTTAGTTTGTTATTAAAGATCGCATTAGTTTGTTGTTAAAGATCGTCTAGTTTTTGTTAATGATAGCTTTATTTGTTCTTAAAGATCGCATTAGTTTGTTGTTAAAGATCGTCTAGTTTTTGTTAATGATAGCTTTATTTGTTCTTAAAGATCGTTTAGTTTGTTCATAAAGATCGCTTAGTTTTTTGTAAATTCGCTTAGTTTTTTCATAAAGATCGCTTAGTTTGTTCTTAAAGATAATTGAGTTTGTTCCTTAAGATCAATTAGTTTGTTCTTAAAGATCTTTCAGTTTGTTCCTAACGAACATTTAGTCTTCTGTTAAAGATCGCTTAGTTTATTCTTATAAATCATTAAAGATCATTTGTTTTGTTCTTAAAGATCGTTCAGTTCGCTCTTAAAAATCGTTTAGTTTGTTATTAAAGATCACTTAGATTGTTCTTAAAGATTGCTTAGTTTGTTTTAAAGATCGTTTAGTTTGTTCTTAAATGTCGCTTAGTTTGTTGTTAAATATTGCTTTTGCTTAGTATAAAATGACCGAAAACCTGAGTCACTTTCGGCCGGACGGACGGCCGAAAGTCTAAGTAAATTTCGTCCGAAACCGAAGAAAAACCGAAAGTTAACTTTTCTCTTTCGACCGAAACCGAAAATTGGCCGAAAGTGATAAAATGGCCACTTTCGGTGCCGAAACCGAAGCCGAAATTCGGTCGGCCTCTATCTCACACCTCTAGTTTTCTCTCTTCACAATCCCCGCGGTTCAGACGAACACACGCATGCTAGCAGTAGCAGTCCTAGGAGGTGGTGAGTGAAGTTGTTGCCAGGCGACAAGCCTAAAGATTGCTGCTGACACAGCTAGCTGGTTCACTGTGACACGCAAAGCAACACTAAGACAATCACCACCATCAATAGGATGCGTTGCTGTGATATTTTTATATCTTTTGAAACTCCCCCCTTTCCCCCCCCCCCCAACCTGTATTTCTGGTATGCCACCAATCTCTTTAATCAACAACCACCACCTCCCCTTTCAGTGCGTACATAAATATAATGAAGGATGGTCCAAAAGCAACACTAATACAATCACCACCATCAATAGGATGCGTTTCTGTGATATTTTTATATCTTTTGAAACTCCCACCTTTCCCCCCCCCCCCAACCTGTATTTCTGGTATGCCACCAATCTCTTTAATCAACAACCACCACCTCCCCTTTCAGTGCGTACATAAATATAATGAAGGATGGTCCAACTATAAAAAAATATACAAAATCCCATCGTTGTTTTCTGGGTCCATTCAATGCGGGGCCATAAGGGCTAAAGCTTCCACAACCGAAAATTTTTAATTTTTGTTTAAATTGGACAAAATGACACAAATATTTGTTCACCGGGTGGGTCTCTGAAAATCGTAGTTTTGGCGGGTCTCGGCGTACAATCGTAAAAGACTTCTAAAAATCATACATTGTACGCCAAAGTCGTAAGAGTAAACAGGTCTGCAAGTGCAGCCCCTGGTTCTTGTTCTATTATTTGACACAAGCATCATTTGTCCACCCCTGCATTGATAAATATAGAAGATGACTCACAGAATGTGTTCTGTCCAACACAGCAAACCTGTTTCTGGCCACCCAGACAGCAGTCAGCCCAGATGATCGTTTGCCTTCAGGTGCTGAGGGAAAAGATTAAACTAATTTTGTGATTGGTTCCAAATTCGAGATAAATAAAATGTTAATTATTTAACTTTTTGAAAAAACAAAGGCTTCATAATTTTATATTTAAATGCTGAATCAAAACAAAATATGAATGGTTTTCAATTTTAAATCTAATGCATAACAAATACATCTGCTATTTTATTCAGAAATTATTACTAAAGCTAAGCTGGAGCAAGACATCAACTCAAAGCTTTTACTCACATTTTACAATAACAATTAGATAACCAATATAATAAATGTCACATCTAACATTAAAAAATAAATGGAATTTTTCTTACCATCTGGATTTTGAGAATCTGACTCTTTGGGTACAACATACAGATCGTAAGTGCTATTTTCAGCATTGGAAGAACACTTCTGAAGCAAGTTTACATTGAGAACATTTATAAGATAAAAAAATAAATAATGCTAAATAATTAACACTATTGGTCATTTTGGTTATACTTAATTTTATATATGAGTTTTTAAAACTATTTAAGTATGGAATGAGAAAAGAACAACTTACAGTGCACAACAAAATTGCATTCTCTGCTGGGTTGTAAGACATTGAATAGATAGGTGCCCTTGCTCCTCTGATGATGAATAAATGGAAAATATAAAACAGAATATTTCATTTTTTTTTTAAATATAAGACAAAATAGTACAGCAATACATTACTCATTAATTAAATGTAATAACCTCTATAAAGTAATCACACACAACATATGTTGTGGAATACTGTGCATATTCTGAGAAAAATAGTGGGAAAAAGTTAGACAAGCACATCCATGCTTACCCTCGCAGCTGCATCACAGCCACATCTTTAGAGTTGGTGAAATCTAACTTCCTCAGGTATTTCTCCTTGACATAGTACAAGATGTTATTGTGCACAGAGAATGGAGGCCGTTCTCTCTCCAACTTAAAAATGATCATACCACCATCATGACCTGATTTTTATTTTCAAAAAACATCACCACTTAGAATTTTTGGGAGATTTGCAAAAAATTAGCTCTGGACCAAAAGAATGTCCTCAGATTAACTTAATGAGCATATGAATTAAATTACAACAAAACCTTTAAATATCTGTAAATGTGCTAAATTTCTGTGATCACAAATTTTATAATTTATAAATAATAAGCTTAAAAATATTTATTAACTTAACTGCTTTTTCTAAAATTGAGCCCATAGAAATGCAGAATTTACAGTGTTTATGCTCACTAATTTACTGACTAAGTCAACTGTACACTGAACTAATACTAGTTGACTACCAATGTGGATTCAGAGCCAAACAGATCAACGACTTATCAGATTCCCTCCACCATATGCCTATTACAGAAATGTTACTATTTCTGACATCCCAGTACATCAACTCTATGTGGACTATAAAATGGCCTATGACTGCATCAAAAGAAAATATCTATATGAGACTGTGCAGGAGTTTGACATACCCAAAAAACTGACAAGAATGGTACATATAAAATTAAACAACTCAAAAAGCAAAATCAAGGTTCAGGGAGAATATTTAAGAGAATTTCAGAATAGACAAGGCGTTAGACAAGGACACTGCTTTTTAACCAAACATTAGAGACAGTTACAAGAAGCGTACACATTGACACCTAAGTAACAATAACAGGATACTTTCTGAGGGAAACCCCAAGACCCCCAACCAATAAGCACTCTCTACAACCAACCCCTTCATTATCTTGCATATGCTGATGACATAGCACTGTTAGGGAAAATTAATAAAGACATATCAAAAACTTTTATTGAATTAGAAGACTTATCGATACAAGCAGGCCTGGCAGTTAACAAAATACATGACTATGTTACAGAATAGACAGATGAAACCAATACAACTAGAAACACACTTTTTAAAAAGTAAATCAATTCAAATAACTAGGATCCTTAATAATGAAAGAAATGAATTACTAAAATCAGACCATACGCAAATGAAACTTGGATCTTAACATAAAATGTAAACCTATTAAACAGATGGGAGAGAAAAGTTCTCAGGAAAATATATGGACCAACAAAGGATGAATATGGACACAGAATTCTGACCCAACAGGAATTGTATTGACTATTTCAGGATCGCAGGCTAATAGCAGAAATAAAGATGGGCAGGCTAAGCTGGGCTGGACACTTAGAAAGAATGCCAAATGACAGAGGAGTGAAGAGGGTGCACTACCAAAACCCCAGAGGAAAACAGCTCAAAGGCAGCCCTATGCTTAGAAGACCTATGCTTAGATGGATGGATGATGTGGAAAAAGATCAACAGCAGCTGGGAATCCAAGCATGGAAAGGAATGCATCAGTTAAGTCTGAGTTGAAGGAAGTATGAGGCAGGCCAAGGCCATACTTGTAGTGCCACAGGGATGGATGCTCACTAAATAATATTTAAGTCCATTAACTTTCACTTTTTCTTCTTAAATCTCTCAAAAATATCAAGCTTAATTTTACTGTAAAACAATCGTTTGTTTACTCCATTATTTGGAAGATAGATTTTTTTTAGTAATAAAACAAAACTGATTTCAAATTATTTTTAAAAAAAAAAATGTTTGCCAAAGGCTATTGAACCCCATCCTTTTCATACCTGCAGCAAATAGATTGAGCGAAGGATGTGCTGCCATCACCCAGAATCTGTCATGTTCACGTCTGAAGGTCTGCACTCCAGTTCTGAGAATGATGAAACCGCAAGATTAAGGGCAATCTTGATTTATCTTGCTCTTACTCTTAGATTAATATGATTCAGTTTCAGATGAGATTTTTGTCATTTATATGTAACCAGAAGGCCACAAATCTAATTTGGGGCAAAATTTTAGCCTGAACTACTAAACTTCATTTAATGAAAAAATAAGAAAATGCAAATATATCAGTAACGCTTACCGTTTACTCATATCCCACACTCTAATACTTTTGTCCTCAGAGTTACTGAGAATCAACTCCTGGCGGGGATGGAACAAACAACAGGAAACATTGTTGTAGTGACCCCTGCAGGTGTCCACTTCCCAGGCCTTGGACTCTGCATTAGAATACAATTTGAAAGATTCAATTTCACAAACAAAAATTATTCTATCTTTGATTGGCTAAATATTGATAGCAGTATTTCTGCAAAGAAATACACATACTAACAGCCTACCATTCATCCTCCAAAGTTTAATTTGTCTGTCATCAGCACCAGAGACTATCAATGGCAGGGTGGGATGAAAAGCTGCCCAGTTCACACCCCTGTCATGGCCTTCCAAAACATGCTTAACTATTGCATCTGAAGTTCCAAAAAGATCTGTCTGACCAGGATTTCGTAATCTGTCCTCAATGCCACCTGGACCAGGAGCAACATTTTTTTTCCTAAGACCTGAAAAAAAGAATTATAAATGGTTAACACCATGAAATGAAGAAGAGAAAAAAAAATTAAGTTATTTTGTAAAAAACAATAAGATACTAGCCTAATCCCCAAAATTTTTTTTAAAATACCTGAAATATCCCAGACTCTAACTGTTTGATCCAATGAAGCAGAAACAACCATGTCCTCTGAAGCATGGAATTGTGCACACATCACATAATGGCTGTGCCCAGTCAGAACACTGAAAAAAATTGAACAAAGAACTTTTAAAAATAGGATAACATAAAAACAAAACCATACAATTTTTAAAAAATAAAGATTAAGGGTGATTTGAATTACCACATCACACAGTACAAAGAGGATTAAACAGTCTCTGAAATTGATTACAGACATATTTGCCTACCTGATGCATGTACGTGATTGCCAATTCCATATCCTGATAGTCTGATCATCTGAGGAACTTAAAATCCAAGGATATTCCTGTTGAAAAAAAAAAAAAGTATGATGTAATTTCATATTTATGCCATTAATGAAAAAGAAGATTAATTAAGCAAAAACTGAAATGCAAATTATGAGCACAATATATAAATTAATTTTGAAAGTGCATAAATCAGTTGATCAACACTCACATGGTGAAAGAAGGTTGTTCGAATGTAGTCCAAGTGACCTAGAAGTGTAAACAAACATCTTCTCTGTTTGTAATTCCAGACCTATACCACCAAAAAACACATTAAAATAATATTACCAAAAGAAATTTTCATTTAAAATATCTAGTATCATTCTTAATAGCAGCACAAGTGTGTCTTGCAGAGTTTCATTAAAATCAGAACCATTCAAAAAAAAATTGTTAAAAGCTACCAAAAAAATTGCATAAATATCATTTAAAAAAAATTAAACTTGATACTAAAATATCTATTCTTTGAATTTCCAAGTTAAGCAAAAAATACCTTTATTTTGTAATCATCACCACCAGACACAAAGAGAGGCTGCTGTTGGTGAAAGTTAATCCCACGAACTGGACCTGAGTATGCAAAGGATAGATTGATTGATTTCTTACTCAGGCAAAAGTATGTTGATTATTTATAAAGGAGTTCTACTACATATTAGCTAAAATTACAAAAATTTAACTTGAATTAATCGTACCATCATGCTCATCAAATTTGTCAATAAGAGTACACATTCGGTAGTCCCATAACTGGACAACACCATTGTGAAGAGATGCCAAAACCCAGGGTCTTTTAGGATGAAATGACAGCCCTGCAAATAGAATAAATAATACACTTTACACTCTTTTTACTTGCTTCACAAAAGAAAATAACATGCAAAATAGGCTAAATTTAAAAAAATTATGTTATTTTAAAAAGTGATATATTAATAAAAGGGCATAAACAGTTATCATTTTCTTGTTCCTGTGCATTGGATACAATTCTACCTCTATCAAGCAACATCTGAGTATTTATTACCTAAAACGGGCTATAAAAACAATGAACTTTGACTGTAAGGTAGGTATTTCGTTTTTTTTTTTAAATTCCAAAAACTTATAAAAATATCACATTTGTATTGAGCAAACTTCAAAAGAAATATAATAAAATGGAACCAGAATCAACTTCCCAGCTTTAATACCTTTTGAGATATGAAATGGTAACGTGCGACTCCATGTGCAACTTTTTTACCATGGGCTGGACCTCTACATTTTGTGACCCAATTCCGCTGATTGAGTTATTCGCTATATGTTATAGTATAACTCTTCTTTACATTTTAATTTTATACAACTTTTATTTTCAGGATTTAAGTTAGGTATTAAAAGTTCTACTTTTAACATTAATGTTAACACTATCAAACAATTATAAATACATTGTAACTTATCTAGCAATGTAATATGCATCATCATTAAATTTAATAAATAATAAGTCAAAAGTGTCCATTATATCAGATAAATAGACAATGTAAGGCAAGGTGTTCCCTTTAAAATAATATTGGTCTGGGACTATTTATTTTGAACTTCAACTTTAGAACATGACTTATTAATTAAAGCTTTTCCTGACCAATGATTTATTAGTGTTTGCCAACAGCAATCTCTTGTGAATGAAGCCATGAGAATAATACTACAGTAGCATATGCAAAAATGACTTAATGGTTGCCCATGACAATGTTTTGCACACTGCAAATTATGATAATTTATTGTATGGACGCTACTGGTTTATAAACCTGAAATTAAAACATTCTTGTTAAAATACCTTCTAAGTTCATTCTAAAACACAATTTATCAAATATTTTGATGTAAACAGGGGTAATAATTGATTAGCTAGTAAGTATAACATCTTCCATCATTAAAAATTGGGCTGAGAAACCTTACGATAGTGCAGATTACTGGGACGAGCATAGTGAACGCCGGACACGACCTGCTTCAATTAGAATTGGCACACACATAGTCACATAGATCAATATATCACTTATAAATCAATATGTAACGCATTTCAATAACTAATACGAAAGACAAGTTATTCTAATTCCTTCAAAATTTTTTTAGGGAAAGATGCCTAATTTATACCTATGAAGTTCCAAAATTAAGGTTGACCAAAAAAGAAAAAACAATAGGTTGGAATGTAGGTCAAGATGCATAGTTCTTCCCCAAATGATATTTTCAAGAACTTCATTCTCGCCTTGGGGGAGAACTATGCATAATGTTATTTTTACACATTACATTGTTTGATTTCTTCTATTTTAATTTTTTTTTTTTAATTAAATTGTTTTACATTTTCTATTTTTTTAAATTGTCTTGTGTTGTTTGTTCTACTGTCTATGTGCTGGAATGAATATGTACAACGTCGTAAAAACAAGATAAGAATAATTGTTTAAATAGCCCTTCAAACCGAAACAGCTGGATTTTTTCTTGGCCGACGCTCAAGTGGTAAATTACCAAATTTTTTACCAAAGTACCAAGCAAATGTGTGATTATTTTTATCATGAACAACTTAATATTTTCAGTTTTGATTTTGAGACAACATTGACATTATTGTCAACAGTCAACAGGGCACTTTTTGACTTCTGAAATCAATTTAATAATTAAATAATTTGGTAATTTTATGACTTACATTTTTAAAAGTTGTCGATTAGGCCCTATGCATTAACTGGTAGCCCATTAACTAAATTCTACATTGAGACCATATGAAAAAACCGACTGAATGACTGAAGAAGTTGAAACCTGCCTGTGATTGGCCTAAAAATACATACCCACGGCCCGGCAACCCAGTTTTATTTCTATTGTCATATTCATCTTGTGCTTCATATAAAGTACAATGTTATTATAATTTACTCACCTTTAACACGGGCTGACTTTGTCTCAAACTTCGTCAGCATTGTAATTTGATTACAATGTTTGTTTAGTTGTTATCTTATCCAAATAAATGTGTTGTCAATCGCCACCGTGTCTACTGTCTACTACTACTTCAACTTCCGGTATACACGTCGCTAAACAGGAAAAGCTACAGATCACGTGACAAGTAGAACTTATAATTAAAATGATACTGAGAAATACCGTAATATTAATTTATTTTGTTTGTTTAAAATGATCTAGATTATGCAAAAGCCATGTTTTTTTTTTAATCGAAAAAGATATAGTCGTATAGCGGATTGTTTGGTTGTAGTGTAGGCCTATGTAGCCTATCTAATAAAGATACCCATTTTTTTTTAATGTAGAATTTTATAAGTTGTTATAATTAGTTTAGTGTAATGCTCAGTTCACACGATCAAATTTCCGTCAAATTCCTTTTTGAACGTACTATTTAGTAAAACAAAATAGTGCGTTCAAAAAGAAATTGAAAGCAAATTTGAGGAAAATTTGACCGTCTGAACTGAGCATAAAAGTGTAGAAAATGTTAATGAGCATAGGCATGGGAAGTGTTTTCAATAGTGTGAAAAACATTAATAACAGTTTCCAGGTGGTTTATAAGAGCGTGGGAGAGGATTTATATAAAAAAACTTAAAATATAATAATTTATAAATAGTAAATTAAATAATAGGTCCCTACTTCGTGGATTTTCGTTGTTGGTTCTGGAACCTAATAATATGTTTAAATTACAACCCCCCCCCCCCCTTTTCCCAATAGACGAGGGATCACAGTATATCTCTCGAAATATCTATTTTCATAACATTAACAGTAGGCAGAAGGCTACAATAGTCTGTAACTTTATACCCGAAGATCGTTTGGTGTAATTGTTACGTTGATGGATTGGCTCACACACAGGGACATCGAGGGAAATACCGGTGGGTCGGTGACATTCTGGCAGTGTGGGTCGCTATTTCAGTGTTATTTGGGCCAGTTCTGCCGGTGATATTTGGGCCAGTTCTGTTGGTGACATTTGGTCCCGTTCTGCGGTCGATATTTGTGCCAGTTCAGCCGGTGATATTTGGACAGTGCCAGCATTACAAGGTTCTTTTTTCGCGATAATAAGCAGGAACCAAAAATCCCGCCATCAAAATTATGAATGTTCATCAGTCATCTATTTTTACTACTTTTGAGAATGTTCTCTTAAAATTTTTAAGTATAAATCTGAATCATAAAAATGTATAATTAATAATTTTATTATAACTTATAAGTAGCCTAACTTCAAATAAACTCAAATTCTTAAATTTAAGATTTTTTTTAAATAGTAAATAGCTGTCTTCAAGATAAACATGGTTTTCTAGCTTCTGATAAGTGCTTAAAGATAAGTAGCCTAGGCTAGACACACACACACACACACACACACACACACACACACACACACACACACACAAAATCCTGCACTAACAAATTAATTTATAAAAGTGTCTATTTAGAATGTATTTTAATATAACTAACAGTTTAATTGAAAACAAAAAACAGTTGTTTTCTTGCTTTTGCAGGAGCAAAATACTGAATTATCCAACCAAACACTTTCCACATAATGTTACATAAAGAGTAGGGCTGTATTAGGGCCTATAATATACAGTTGGTCTTTGGTTATTATTTCTTAAAAGGGGGGGGTGGGTATTTTTCTTGTTACAGTTATTATCTCATCACACAGTTCTATATCATTAATGTCTGTTGAACAGGTGTTTAACTATGATTAGAGCCACCAGGGGCGGGACACAATTTTTGCCCCTTTCTCCATCAATCTGACTTTACAACAAAACAACAACAAAAAACAGTCAATGCAAATATTTGTACTTAAACCATTAGCGGGTTAAATACATCACAGAAGTCATATTTATACCTGTGAAAATGTTTTCATATTGTATTGCGCCCCAGCTCCCCCCGGCCCTCACATCGAAATTACAAGGTAAGATCTATACATGATTGAATCAAAAAAGTAAAAATAGCATCAAAAGTGCTTCCATTAAAGTTAATGCACACACAAATTTATATTAGGATAGGGGCTGAATAGACTAAAAAATTTACAGTCAGCATATTGGGGGAAAAAACACACAAAGAAAGTTATTTTCAACTTCCTGCAATATTGCTGAATTTGCTTTCTGGTAAGCAAAACCTCTATCAAATGCTACTCTTCGATGAGTACTGACTTAGTTAAATGGGAAAGCTTTTTTTTCTCCCCATTTTACCATTTAAATGGGTCAAAGTGAGCAAAAGGCGATATGTAGAATTTAGCAAATTTTCAGAGCTTCATTGTCTGATAATGGCAGGTAATTGAATGTAAATTAAAATTATTATTCGCATTTTACCCTTAAAATACCTGGTACTATCATTTTGTTGTAACCGGCTAAAAAGGCCACCCCGAAATCTACATAAAAGTGTGCCGCTTGGGTTTGAACCCCCCCCCCCCTTTTTTCCCCGCCCAGTGCCATCCCATGTCATGTTCCAATGCAGCTGAATCGTCATTTCTGGAAAGCTAATTGCACGTTCATGCATTGTTTGAAAACAAAATGAATCTAATTTCTCTAGTTTTATAATTGCCATACCAAAATTCAGATCAAGGCATTGTGTTACGATAAATTTCAATTTCGATCATTAACTGACTGAATTACGATAAATCTGGCTGAAATAGAATGATATAAGCCTAATGATGTAGGTAATTTTCTTAGGTTGCGCTGGACACTCTGGTCATTTATTAAATTGTTAATGTTCAAATCTTGCATCTCAATTTTGCGATACTTCCTGATCTACAAGTAACAAAGAAACAAAGAACATTGTGTCAATGGGCACCGCACGCTTTTGTTTTTGGTCGTCAGACTATAACAGCTCTGAAGTTTTTGGGAACATTTCTAGCACTTTTTTTGGAAAAGCGTGTTCCGGCTCATAACAATAAGAACACAATACAGAAACTGCTCACTCCTGCCAAACACAATCAAGGACTGGAACAAAGCTTCCAAAAGGAACAGTTGAGGCGACAACACTTGATACATTTGCGTCTACTTTCTCAGGCCTTCCAAATACCAGTTCATGGTACCCTTGCAACCAGTGAAATATCGTCATCAATACCAGGCACAGAAACATTGCAAATCAAAGGAGCCAGAATAATCAATATATTGATCGTGGGCCCTCAATATATAGAAAAAAGAAGATATGAAAATATAATTTATTTTTTAAAAGAGAGCAACCTAGTCTTACACAACTGCAGAGGTCAGGGCTACGACAATGGTTCCATGAAGGACAAAAATAAAAGAGTGCGGGCACGGATTATGAATGAAAATCCATGGGCCTTCTATATGCCCTGTAAATGTCATAGCCTTACATTAGTGGTTGGTGACAGTGCAACAAGTTGATTGGAATCCACTTCATTTTTGAGTATTACTAAGTGGATATAATATGTTTTCTTTACCGCCTCTACTGGATGATGCTATGTATTGAAAAAACAACATCTTCACTGTAAAACCTTAAACTTAATGTCCAGTTCACACGATCAAATTTTTGTCAAATTTGCCTCAAATTTTCGTCAAATTTCTTTTTTAATGGATTATTAAGTAAAAAAAAATAGGGCGCTCAAAGTGAAATTTGAAGATAATTTTACGACAATTTGATCGTGTGAACTGATTATTACGAGAGACATGAGAATGAGTGCAGAATTGAATGCGACACAGCTATTGCATATTAAATTCCTGGAATTCGAGAAGATCTTTATGAACTTTCAGAAATGTCTGCGCCTGATCTTGTAGTGCGACATAAAGCAAAAACACCTGTATCACAAACAAAATATTATGTTTTTGTAGTTATGATAAATGTCTGGCATGATATCCTAGGTAGGGTAAATGACATTGTTTGCAGGACACCTGCATGTGGGACTATCTACTGCAGTTTGACTAAGGAATAGTTTCACTGATTATTTAATTGATTATCGTGCAAATGGATTTGGAAATACATTATAGTCAGCCAAAAATAAAAAGTCCAACATCATTAAATTTAGAGTCTATTTATTTAGCAAATAAAAGAATAAGGAGGAGAAGATGAATGATTTTTTTAATATGACCGCACTGACGAGGTTCCAAATGTAGATGACCCAGAAAGAAAAAAAATCACCAGTTCTTGGTAATACTGGACAGAGCTATAAATTCTTGAATTGAATAGTTGCAAAGTCTCAACAATACATGGGGATTTTTAAATGACCTAAAATATCTGCCAGACAAAGATAAGCTTAAAGTAGCATGTCAAGGCTTGGAGAATAAGTTAAGGTATCAAGAAATAAATGATATAAATGGATGTGCTCTGTTGACTGAACTAGATATAGCCAATGAATTATTTCCTCATGATGTAAAGATTCCAATAGAAGCCTCTAAATTCATAAACACTAAGACTTATAGATTACTTAATGTCATGCCAAATCTATGCGTAGCACTAAAGAATAATGTTTACAATACATTATAACTGTTGCCGCTGGCGAGAGAAGCGTTAGTAAATTTAAAGCCTATTGCACTTTCCCCGTGCCATGAACTTTGTTTGACCCCAAATTAGACTGCGTTCGTATTGGGCGTGGTCTATTTCTTTTGATCTTTTTTTAAACCACAAAACAATCTATCGTCTGTTTGTCTTGACTCGAATGGGGTACAAAATTGTAGTAAATTATAGAAATTTGGAGAAGATTTGAGTCACGGCTACAATGTATATTCTGCTTCCGAATATTCTTAGAAACAGGCGATACCCATATTATATAAAGCAGGGGAATTGAAAGACGAGAGATTAATTGAGCGATATTTGTTTTTTTACTTCACGAGACAAGTTTATTATTCTTTGAGTACTCATATGTGTTTATTCGCATTCATCATTGTACTTTATTAATTGGCAGATTGTACTATCTGTGTACCGGTACAAGACATCCCATACTCTGTAAGTTGATGATTGTAATTATATTTCTTTTGTTTTGTAATTATATTACTGCTTAAATAAATCTTATTAATTGTAATTAGTACTGTTTTGAGTGTCGTGCTTTTGCCATTGTATTTTTCTATGGTATCGTCCTTTGTTAGGCCCTGTTTAGAAATTAAAATAAGAGATTAATTTCTCACTATAGAAGTAATAGAAGGCAGTGTGTAGCACTATACAAACAAAATGACATATTTACCTACTAAACTATCATTGATTATCCAAGTCTCAAGACAGAATGAATTCTTTGGCAATTTTGTCTATCGAAAATGAAATTGCAAAGAATATAATTTTAGAAATCCTGAAAAAAAATCAACAGTAAGCTTATTGTTTATACCGTCAAAATACAAGTTAAGAAAAACGATATTATTGTTGATTGTTTGTTAAATTTTTTTAATAAACTCATTTCTTAACCCCTAGATTTTCCTTTGTTTATATGTTTGTTTATATTTCATCTCTATTAATCTTTGTTCTTGTTTTACCATTGATTATGTGGTTGGAAAATTAATATTGGCAGTACTGTCACTTTAATCGGAAGGGTTAGGCGGTTAGGATCAGAAAACGAGAGCGGCGATGGCTTCCAAACTTTCAAAAGGGAGAGGAGTGAGCCATGGGCGCCTGCAGAAAACTTTCTAAGGGGGGGGGGGCAAAAAAATCGATTAACTTTCCACGGGGGGGGGGATATTTTTAGTAATATTTTAATATAGTTTTAATTTACTGTAGCGTATTTGTATGGTGGACGAACGGACAGGACAAAGTGAGCCATGGGCGCCTGCAGAAAACTTTCTAAGGGGTGGGGGGCAAAAAAATCGATTAACTTTCCACGGGGGGGGGGATATTTTTAGTAATATTTTAATATAGTTTTAATTTACTGTAGCGTATTTGTATGGTGGACGAACGGACAGGACATCAGCTTAGTTACTTTCTCTTTATTTTCTCTTTACTTTAATAAATTTTTTGTCTAAAATTTTTTTATCCAATCAATCCAGGGAAGGGGGGGGGAGTGCCCCCCTTGCCCCTAACTGCGGGCGCCCATGGGGTGAGCCTATACCAGAAAATGTTTGAGAAATTAAAAATGCAGGTCTGCATTGTGGGGAGGATACCTGGATTTTTGTTTTGCAGTATTCTTCCGTAATCAGAGAGCAACAGAAGAGAAGCTGGTGGAAATTTAGGTGTCCACTGACCTGGTTGTGTTTTTATTGTTATTTTTAAATCCTTTATAACTTTGCTTTTGCTCACGGCAGGCAAATCTTCGGACGCCTAATTGACCCACACACCTTAACCAATCGAGCTGAAATTTGGGACAGACTCGTTGCCGATGGCCGATGACAACACATTCTATCAAATTTTCAGCACCACCCCTGTTTTTTATGGAAGGAAATATGATGGCACTGATTTCATGAAATACAATTCCAGATAAATGCACTAAATGAGAGTCTTAAAAAAAAAAACACACACAAAAAAATCGCAAGTGTGTAAAATTTTCCTTTGTTTTTGTTTAAATAGTTGGCTAAATGAATCCGTGATGTAAAAGCGTGTGGGTCATTAGAATATTAATATAGTTCATAGTTTACAAAAATATGGGGTCGTGAGCCTTGGAAATGTCTGTGTGTGTGTGTGGGGGGGGGGTGATGCTGAATATTACATTTTATATTGGACATTAGAATATTAATATAGTCCATAGTTTACAAAAATATGTGGTCGTGAGCCTTGGAAATGTCTGTGTGTGTGTGTGGGGGGGGGGGGGGAGGGGGACTAATTGGGATTATTGTAAACTGCGTTACTTGTCAAATTTTCAGCATCACCCCCCCTCCCCCATATTGCTGGATATTACATTTTATATTGGATTTATAAGAAAAACATTGTTTTTAAGGGTTTGTTTAATTTAGTGTTATGATTTTTTAATTTAAAAATCGAGAGGACTAATTTGAAGCAATTTTTCAGTCCAAAAAATTACCGGTTGTACTGTTAGCACCCAATTCTATACAATTCCATGGCTGCTGCATATCTCAACCAGACCTGTTTACTCGTACGATTTTGGCGTACAATGTACGATTTTGAGGTGTATACATTTATATATACTGATGTTTAGTTTACTATTAAGATAATGTATTGATTGATTTTGTGATGATATTGTACGATTTTAAGAGTTTGAGGGTAAACAGGTCTGTCTCAACTGGTTTTGTACCTTTTTTATCACATCATTAAGAACTGGATTTGTTTTTTTGGTGAAATTCATTTTTGAAAAAATAAATAATATTCTGAGAAGCAACTACTGTATCAAAAGCAGATGATATTCTCTTTATTTCATAAGGACAATTAGAAAAATGAGTCCTTGTGTGAAATCAAATTTAAATTTATTTCATTATCATTTCAAACTATTTTGACAAACCATACATTTGCCCATAAATTTTCACAAAACAATTCTCCAATAAAAAACATACCCAGACACGTCTCTCTCTCCCTCCCACCCCATATGTGCAGTAGTGCTAGTGATAGTGGCATATCTCTCAGTTGTTGTAGACTCTTTTTGTATGGGAATACGAAAAAAATATAGATTCTGATAGGCCTATTCTGAAATTTCTTATTAATGAATGTATCAAATAAATTGTATAGATTTAATCAAAATATAAACCTGTTTTTTAATTCATCATTTTCAAATGTGCAGTTTTAAGAAAAAGAAGCTCAGAGCTGAAGGGGGATAAAACAATTTTAGCTGTGACACTTCAGACATCTGGCGAGCCACAATATTTAATGTCAACCGGTGGGTTGGCCACAATACTAGAAAGGATGGCCATATCTATCTACAACATTATGATAATTACTTTAAAAAATTAGATAAAGGAATGCTAACACATTAAAAACACTTTAAAAGAACAAGTCAGTTTTGAAAAAGCACTGAATGCATTTAATGATAATAACATAATTGTCTTTAAAAATCATTTAAGCAATGAATGTAAAGTATTAGTAAAGAATGCATTTTAAAATATTCCTCATGCCATCGATTTTTTTTGTTTTTGTTGCTTGTAAACAGCAAGAATCGTAAAGTATAAAAACTTAGCAAACCTTTAGTTTGGTTGGTGAGCACATTTTAAATTAAAGAATGACAGATCTGCAAGGTCCCATAAACAGAAAGCTAACATTTTGTCATTGTAAGGCACACATTTATGTGACAATGTTGTCCTTGTAATTTAATTATATTCATTATATTTCAATTAAAAATAACACCAAGAATCTTATCAGTTGTCAGTTTTAGCCATAAAAAAAAATAAAGCAAGGATCAAAATATAAACAAATGTTAGGATAAATAACCTCAATAGACAACATCGTCCTCACTATTGGAAGAAATAAAAATATCTGGAGAATAATGCGCTTTTAAAGTTTAAAAAACAGTATAGCATGTATTCACAATTAAGGTTGCATAATTACAATAACCAAAAAATGAGACAAAAATATAGTGTGAGAACTAAGTTCTTCTAATAATCAAGTTTTACTATAATCATATTGATCTATGAAAACAAGGACTGCCCAGAAACTTTACTTCAAGAATTCTGAGACCAAAGAAAAAATTCTAAGCATACTTTAGATTTATTTAGAATATTTAAAACAGGAGTGGCCAAACTATGGCTGGTGAGCCAATTATGGCTCATGCCTCTGTTTTGAATGGCTGTGCTACCTATAATAAAATTTAAATAATCATAAAAATGGAAAAGAAAATGATTGTGTAGTTTAAATTTTTAATAACAGATGTCACTTCTATATGGGGTTGTTTCGCTTTGGGATGAAATAATAAATTTCCTCTGTTTTGGGTAATATTTTCCCACTCTTTCAAAGTTTATGCCTCTGTAACTTTTGAATCTTGCCCACCACTGGTTTAAAACTAATCTATTTGGCAACAAGATTACATACAAAGGTGAAGCCCACACTTACAGGGTTACTGAAGGTGTTGCATTACATTATTATTCTCCAAAGCTTTCTTTGAGTAAATTCTTAAATGTTTAAGCTTTGACATTGAGAAGATGTTTTTAAAAACATGAATGGTATACACAAAAAAAAAATTAAGATGTATCCTATGCATATAAATATATCTATAAATACACATATAAAGAGTATATACAAAATAAACAACCTTAAAACAAGGTTGAACAATGGTGAAATAAAAAACAATAAAAAACGCTGACATATTTTATAGCCAGTTTTTTGATGGATGGAAAACAAACATACATTATAAAGGGAGATCCATATACTCTACAATGTATCTCTTTTTCTTATGTGTAAAGGTTTGTAAAGTTTCCTGCACAAGAATGTAAAAATTGGTCATGTGTCAACAAACTACAAAAAATAATTTAAAAGAATCCATGAAATTTAAAACAAGAAACTGAATAATATTTCTTTTAAAAGAATGGAAATGAGATCGAAGAGGAGAGTATAGTTTCTAAAAATAGAATATTGAAACATCTCTTCAATGACTTTACAAGAGGTCATTAACAATCACAGATCTGAGTTACCGCTTTCAAGAATGGACATTTGCATGGAGCCATTTTTTTTGTTGAAATTCATTACACTGTGTATTATTCCAGTGCAGGGCTGTGAGCAGTGGATCAGTTACTGGGGGACGACTTTGAAAAAGTCTCATTTAAAATCATTGTCTGAACATGCTTATTTCAGAATTTTTCCTGAGCATGTTTCAAAATTGAATTGATGAAAAGGTAACCTACCGGTACTTATAACAAATATTTTACTGGCATTTTTGATGTTATGGTATTAGCATTAATTAATAGCTCAGCCAAAAATGTTGCAAAATTTTAAAAGGTTCATTGAAAGAAAATTCAATAAATTAACAAGTTGTCGTGTAGCCATTTAACCCCCTTACAAAGTAAGATGGGACCTATTATATACTCCTTCAGCTCAAGTGTAACTATTCTATTGATAATTATTTGCATGGAAAGTGCTCCTCACTTAAAAAAGGTGATCTGTTTTTAAAGCCTGAATATTGTGTCCCTGAATTTTAATAATTATTTTTAAAATGTTGTAAGACTAAAGAGGATAAAAACAGCAGTTATACACAATTGTTGTTGTCCATACTCTTCCATTTATGTGTACAGTATATAGCATTATGAGGAGCTCTTCATCTTTGCTTTGAGCAGATTCATATTCTCCAGAGCTATGGCATTGTTTGGGCTTATCAGCAGTGACCTCTGATAGGATGCTTCAGCCTGATTGTACTTGCCCCAGCGATGATATAAAACACCTGGATAAAAAAAGTAAACTTAATTTGGAAAAGATCAATTCTAGATATGCATCAAAGGAAATCACTTTTAAAATGTGATTTATTTAAAATAAAATATCAATATACCCTTCAGCTGGAAATATCATATCTTAACCTGTACATTGCTTTTTTTTTTTAAAATATAAAAGAATTATAATTACAAATGGTTTGATCACTGAGCATTGCAAATCTTAAACTTCCTAATCAGATGAGTAATCTTCTATTAATTGAGACACAAAATGATTTTAAGCAAAAATACATTAAACCCTTAAATGCATGATTTTTTTAAAAACATTGAAAAAAATCATATGTATGTAGACTATTATTATTTGTTTATTCATGAAAAAATTAAAAAAATTTTTTTTTAAAAAGTTGTAATGTTTTATTTAAAAAAAAAATATTTTGTATATCTGCAACATCATGCATCAAAGACTCATTTTTATTCAGAAACATGATAATTTTTGAAGCAATTGTTTTTCTTATAGCAGCACAGATTTACGCCCCATTTCTCACACAGAGTTTGTGCAAACCCTTTACATTTAGGGTATTTACATCTGCCACGTACATCAGTCCACGTTAGCTAATTTCCTACTTGATCCAGTCGAATGTCTTTTGGTGGGGCATGCTGGGCTGGGACACTTTTTCTTTTAGTGGCCATCATTTCTTCAACTGTGCTGTTGCTAGGGCGACCTCTTTTTATTGCATTTCTTTGTCCAATTTTCATTAGACAGAGAGCCACTTCCTTCCGGAACTGAAAAAATGTAATTTTGTCGTGAACATTTTCTTTGATTTTTGAAATTCTCTTGAAGAGAATCCATGAGTTTGCCAGTGCCATGTCAATGAAATGGTAAAAAAGGCGCATATACCACTTCTTGCTTTTTAAAACAATTTTGTGTCGAGCCATTATAGCATCTAGCAAGTCAACACCGCCCATGTGGCGATTGTACTCTTTAATGACAAAAGGACAGCTAATGTCTATCGTTGTCTTTGCTTTTTTGTCAAAACGTTTTATGGTTGTCACTGGTAGCTTGCCTGCAAATGTTGACAGCAGAGTTCCTGCTTTGTTATCCTTCCAGACCAAGGAGGTTACATCTATTCCATCGAATTCTCCGACAAACTCATATGATGTCACTCTAGCATCCTTTTTCATTTCCTTTTCTGTGGGAAGTTTGCAATTGGGTATTCTGTTTCGGCGAACAGTGCCCAAGCTAAATATACCTTTTTTAGTCAGATATGCCAACAGAGCAGGGCAGGTGTAGTAGTTATCAAAATACAGCCTGTAATTTTGGTTTGCTGGGATGATTGTGGATAGTCTTATCACAACATTGGCAGAAGCTCCAAGATCGGGTTGATCCGATTCTTTTCTTTTGTTTTCTTGACCAGAGTACACTTCAAATTTATAAGCGAATTCGCTCACTCCACAAAGCACAAATAATTTAAAACCCCACTTCAAGGGTTTCATTGGAAGATACTGCTTTAAGAAATGATGGACTTTTGTAGAGCATAGCTGTTCATCTACTGACAATTGTGCTTCTAGAGGAACCATAGCATTTTTTACATTGAGATGGTCAATAAGTGGCCTTATTTTGTGAAGTCTATCATGAGAAGGGTTATCTTGAGGTAAATGTTTGGTGTTATCATTGAAATGAATAAACTGGCGAATTTTCTCAAATTTATTAGCTGCCATACAGTTCACTATCACGATAAGTTCCAAATCTGGTGACCAATAGCATCGCACATTTGGCACGCGTAATTTTGACATGTAAATAATCATACAGATATATTGTCTTAGTTCTGATGTATTGAGATTTAGTGGCTTGTTTATGTCAGTCTGTGTGGCATATAAATTTGATCCATCAACAATCTTTTGCAGCAAATCATCTGAAAAAAGGTGTTGAAAACATTCATATGGTGAAGTCATTTCTTGAAATACACCTGGAAGATTTTCATTCCCATGAAATCTAAGCTGGTCCTCGTTCAAGACTCAGTTCTTATTTTTCCAAATTATCTCAGTCCTTTTCTTGTGTGACTTTGAATTGGATGGTGCAGCCTGTTCAGTATTAGCTTCATGCTGTCCTTCATCATTTGAGCTTATCTCGGCTGTCACTTCATCGTCATCATGCAAATCTTGTTCGTTCAAACTTTGTAAGTCTTCATCATCATCAGGTAAATAATCAGGGTCAATAAGGGAATCCACATCTGACAAATTTTCATCTTCACTAAGTTCACTTAAATTGTCTATCATGTATTGCAGCTCCTCCTCAGTTAGTAGCTTCTTTTCGCTTCTGTTTGACATAGCTGAAAAATATAGACAAATGTATATTGATTACTATTACTACTATAAGTCATTATTAGTACACAAAAAATAAATAAATAAAACCAAATAAAAAACATACAAAGTATTGATCAAATAAATAATGGCAATACTAATGCTATCAATAATAAAAATGGTCAAAACAAACAACAACAAAAAAAATATACCGGCATTAGTCTGTAGCAACACAAAAATTGATCGAGCATAACAATAACAATGGTCAACACAATGGTAATTACTAATACTAGCACTATTAAAAAAATGGCGAGATGCATAATGTTGCATTTCTGCAACATACAAATTTGTTTAAATTACTAATTACAAATACACAATCCATGAGAAAAAATTAGTAATCAAATTAATACTAACCTTAAGAAAAAACAAAAATATATTTATTTTTTTGTAGATATAAGCGTTTTAGATACTTTTGAGAACGCTTGAATGTCAACAAAAATAGTCGAGTCAACAAGCGGTGTTGCGACAGTGTAACCTCTCGTGCCGTGGGTTTAAAAATGTAGGTCACTAGCGTATGCGCAAATTTCAGTAAAGCTACGTAGCAGTACTACAACATCATGAGTTCGTTCCAATTTATTTTTACCAAAGTTTTGAATGCGATAAATGAGTATGTTACATTTCTGCAACGGGATGCATTTAAGGTAATATCTACTCTTGCTATATTTATATTCAAAACTGGACCAAAATGTAACAGTACTGTGAAAGTTATGGAGAGGAAGTATGAAACACAATGTATTAAAAGCATCCATAGAAGTAATGGAGTTTATATAATATATATATATATATATAAATAAACAAAATCAATACACCTTTATGCTTCCAATATTTCCTTTTTTTTAAATTTTAAATTATACTATGAAATATATGCATCTGTTTAATTGTTTTGCACTAACCTAAGTTCAAATGAATGTTTGGGTTAGATGGGTCTCTCTTGATTGCTGCTAAAAACATTTTTTCACTCTCTGCGTACTTCTCCTGCTTTCCATAAACATTGGCCAGACTGAAGATGAGGCTAGGATTATCTGGCATTATTTTCAAGGCGGTTAGTGCTAAGTTTTCCGCCTGATCATACATTTCTAAATGAAATGAAAGGAACAAAATGAAAGTATTCTGCATTTTCATGATGAAAATATACAAAATCCCCCAATTAAATTTAGTACATTGTAAATGGATAATTATTACTATACAAGTTGTAAAATGTGGAAGTAGATATTTTAACATATACTTTCATGTGAATTGTGTTGTGAAAGAGATCAGAGACCTAATTAGAATGAATAAATGAAAATTACCAACTTTAGTATTTTACATCTTTTCTAATGAATAAATGTTTTCTCCTGTTGAATGTGAAAGTAGAGAGAGACTTAGCACCTGAATGGAACAATTTTATATTTATAGCAGACAGAGAAGTGTTAGAATACATCATGGTTATCTGAGGGTTTGAGAGATAATGATCTAATATTCCACTTGGATTGAAAATGTACGAAATATTTTATAATAAATAAAATGTTGTCACTTTCTTCCATAGACTTAATAATAAGACTTACTTAAATTATCCATTAAAATTATAGCATTGTTCCATGAATTCCAATGTGTTGGTTTGAGCACTGTAGCATTTCGCCAAGCATCCAATGCATCTTGAGAACGGTTCATGTCCAAGTACTGTTGTACAAATAAGGTTTATGCTTTTTTTTTTTCCTTTCACTTTTTTTTCCAAAATAATTCATAGCAATTAAAGTAGTAGATGGGTAGAGATCTGTTTGCAATATAAAGTCAGCTACACCTTTGTGTGTTTTTTTTTTTTAAATACAGGGCCTAAAAGGATATGCCAAAAGGTTTTCTTCAAAACAAAATAACTTCTAAAAGTTTTGAAAAACTGATTTTCATTAGAGAGAAAAAAATCATTTTAGAATTTTTTTTTTCCTTTTACTTTTTTTTCCAAAATAATTCATAGTAATTAAAGTAGTAGATGGGTAGAGATCTGTTTGCAATATAAAGTCAGCTACACCTTTGTGTGTTTTTTTTTTTTAAATACAGGGCCTAAAAGGATATGCCAAAAGGTATTCTTCAAAACAAAATCACTTCTAAAAGTTTTGAAAAACTGATTTTCAGTAGAGAGAGAAAACTCATTTTCAGTAGAGAGAGAAAACTCATTTTCAATAGACTAAAAAAAAAAAACAAAATCATTTATAATTGTCTTCATTTCTTAATGTGGTGTGGAAAATTATGATTTACAAAAATACAAATAAAAACTAATATTTCTCAACCATTATTTTTACCAAATTTCCAAGGTTATAGTAACAGTCTGGATAGTTCCTGCGGCAGCGGATGCCTTGCTTATAGCTGTGTTCTGCTTCTGAGTATTTCTTAAGGGCACCTTTGACAATTCCCCTGTTCATCCATGCTGCAGCAAAGTCTGGGCTAATATACATTTATTTATTTTTTTATATCATTGCAACATTTATTAAAAATTAAATTCAATAAAATTAAATTGTTAATATTTTGAATAATAAAATTACAAATCCATTAAGGTATGGACCCATTAAAATTTTAATTAAAGTGTATCTTAATAAACATAAAGTAGCCTGAAAAAGTTGATTGAGGTAATAACTTAGGATGATTTACTTACGATATTTGAACTGCCTTGTCCAGCAAGATTTCAGCTTCTTCCACCTTGTTTTGGTCCTTGTATATGTTAGCCAAGTTGTTCATGGCCTGATCATAGACTGGATTCAGCCTGGGTTTTATCAAAGGTCAAGTTATTGTGGAAAGACTTTGAAATAAGCAACAGGTGATATATTTTTTTAAGCACCACAAATAAAATAATCTTTTAGTATATATTTTCTGTACTTTGTTGTGTCTTAATGAAAAAAAAAGCTTAACCCTTCAAATTCCCACTGATAGTCAGTGTCCTATAAACTGTGTAAGCTTTATGAAAAGCTGTGTAAGCTTTATGAAAAGCTTATGGTACTTCTAATCATTATAATTTAAAAAATACATGTGTATGCACTGCTTGTAAGATCCCACTCGTATCCATCAGCCCTGTAGCAACAAAATTAATTCACCTACTTTATTGCCAGTTCATATTGCTCTATAGCAAAAGTTGTATTCCCACTGTCAGAACTCAGTTTAGCAATGTTGTAGTGAACCTGTGTGTCATTAAAATGATAGATATTTCAGCAATTATAATTTTTTTTTAATTGGCATTTTGATTTTTACAAAAGAACTTGTCTGTCCTTTGAAACATTTAACTTACTATTAGTATTGGGAAAGTGTGATTTACCTTAGCATTGAGAGGACAAACATTCTCTCCAGATTTGAAGAGCCACATGCCTCGTCTCCATTCATTGCTCCTCTGTTAACATATTTTATTGTTAGATTTTTTTTTTCAAAGTCTGGATTAATTTTACAAGGAATTGTGGACTAAAGAACTCAAAATAACCCTGGGGGTTATAAATATTTACATAAAATTAAAATTATACAGTATTATGAATTATATGTTTTTATACAAGTGCTGTACTACATTAAGATTTTATGAAAATACAATATCTGGTTAGAATGGTCATAATTAATTTGGGATCATAAATTGTGCATCTAATCTCAATGCTTCGGCGATTGAAAAAATCCCCAACAAAATAGGAATTAATGTTTCAGAATTAATGAAAAGAGACTCACCTGAACAGAACGTGAGGAGAAAACAAGAAGCAGCAATAGGAATCCAAAACCAATAACCTAATGGTAAACAAATTAAATCATTCATGCACTTTTGTCCGAAAATCTTTCCAAAGATAAATATTAAATAAATACACAAATATATTTAATTTTGTTTAAACCATTTAATTGTTTTAATTCAGAAAATTGTTTGCTAAGGCAGTTACACATCTTAGTATTAATGGAATTAATGTGACTTTACTTTGCTGAAACCTTTCTTCAGAGACAACTGCTGCACTCCCAGGACAACAACAAGACAGAATCCGGCAGAGGGAAGGTACAGAACTCTCTCAGCCACAACAAAGCCTACTCGAAACAGGATGTTGGTGGCGGGAAGGAAGGGTATGATGATCAGTGCCATAGCCAAAGACAAGGACCTTTAGGAATATTAATAATAAAATACATTTGTGTTGTCAAGAGGAAACGGTTATGTTAATGACTGAAAAAAATGTGATGAATTTTCCAATTTGTCACTTATGAACAGTGAAACACTGAGTGACATAAAAAGGAACTCTTCTGTATGGGCAGAGAGTTAGTGAATTTAAAAGTGATGTTAGATGATGAAATTATCAAAATTTAGAAACTATTGAATTTTATGCAGGAATATAGAGTAGATATGCTTGAAAATGATAAAGCTTTCCATTTATTATATTATATTGTATTTCCTTTTTAAAAAAAAAAATGTTTTTTTAAATCAATAATGCTTCCTACTGGAATTGCATCCATTTCCTTAAGGCAGAAAAGATACAGCAAAAGTTGGTCAGAACATGCGATGCCATCTTCCAAGCATCAACTGAATTTTATGTGAACTTATGCACATAAGCCAAACATATCAGTAATTCTAATACCAGGGACGATGAAGGGGGAATTGTGGGGGGGGGGGGGGAATTTTGTTTCAGGCGACATTTTTCTTTTCATGGAGGGGTGGTTAGTTGCAGTATTTTCATGGTAAGCAAAAATCTTGCACCAACCCTCCCCACCCCATGATGGCACTTACCTTAGCTCACTGTCTAATACCAACCTTTTCAATCTTGTATTTTCAGCATACAGACATGTCCAAGCCAAAAGTGACAAAACAGTCCACAAGGCCGCCAGGCAAACCAGACGAACATCAGTGAGTGACTCAATGGTGGGCACACAACCCATGGACCAATCAAAACAAAGCCATTGTGGGCAGACCAGGATCCAGGCATTAATTGCATACAAGTAGTTGTAGTTGAGGGCCTTTAATGAAGACATACATTTTATTATTTCAAAGATGATCTCTTTTGAATGTTACAAAATAAATTACTCTAAAAGAAACATTTCTAATAAATTAAGTAAAAAAACAAAAAATGGGTTTCAGTTGGAATATATATTTAAAAACTAAGAGATTACTAAATACCGTATTTTACGGACTATAAGTCGCTACGGACTATAAGACGCACCTTAATTTTTAAGCAATTTAAAAAAACAAAAACATTTTTACCACTTTTATATTAATTTTGAGTATAAGAGGAACCTGAATTTTGGAGGTAATTTTTTTAGGAAAAAAGTTCGTCGTATAGTCCGTAAAATATGGTAGTTAAAAATTAAATGCTAATTTCAAAATACTTTGTATTCCAACAAAAATTCTGCAGCTTCAACAGACCCGAAAAAAGCCACCTTCAACAAACGAGTGAGGGTTATCATGGACTTGGAATGTCGGTGGGGCTGAACCCATGACCCGCCATCGAACAGCCAGTAGGAATGTTGCAGCAACAACTAGGAGCAAATGTCGTTTAATCAAGGAAATCTGCCACTGTGAATATCTTGACTTGCCCTGCAAGAATTTATTTGAAATGGTTTTCCTACGTTAATAAAATCATCAGACTTATCTTAGTGGTTAAAATAATTTCAACACAAAAGGGAAATTTTACTGAAATTATATTATAACGGTAAATTGTTTTGCTGAATGATGAATTTAACACCAAAAAAATATATAAAAAATTCAAATATTCTCCCCTTACCAGGATCTCATGGATTTTAGCAATTAATTTCAAGATTTGATGAACAATTCATCTGGTATGCTTTTGCCTAAACAGGGAACCCCAGAACATTGATAGAGATCTGATGCAGAAAAGTAGGGAATCTTCTCCTGACAAGATGCATGACATTTCTTGGCAGCTGCCTCAAGAACCAGTCAGCACATGAGGACTGAATGAATGAATAATAACAAATTGAAACAAACCATAGCCATGACTGGCTAACCTTGTTGGATCTTGTTCCATTTGTGGTGCTTGTCCCATTTGATGGTGCTGGTGTAGATTCAAGCTTGCCAAGGGAAAGGTAACAACCCATATCAATACCACATACTATTATAATGTCAAAGGCACTACAAATACCCTGAAATGATAAAGTATTTGCTATTGAAATAAGAACATAAACATAAAAACTTGTTTAACATGTATCATTTTAAACTTAAGAACTTCTAAATTCTTCTTGAAAAAAAAAATACTTAAAAAAAAATTATAATTTGAAAAATATCTGTAGAATTATATTAATAAGAAGAGTAGAGTTATGTGAAGGTTTACACTGAGACCCAAGATGGTGATGTGACCATATACAAATTAAGTTATTTGAAGTTTTACCCTGAGACCCCATGGTGATGTGAATGTAGACCAATGAACATAATCATAAATTACTTACAATTACAGTGATTCCTTGTTCTTTACTAAAAGTTGCCATGCCACACAACAATAAACTTAAGGCAATCCATGCATAGGAAAAACTCTCTGGACGGAATAGTGAATCTGAAATGGTGAAATTAACAACATACTCTAAATTTATTTCAGAAGCCTGTAAATCTACAGTAAACTTAACTTGAATTTCATTGATAAAATTAATTCCACCTGGCCAATAAAAGTCATCCTCATGCTAAACCTGTTGTTCCTTTTTCCTAAATTGGAACAAAATAGCAACTCAAGTGTTAGGCTTAAATTTAAATATTATAGCCTCATGTAAAATAACAAACTAAGAAATACTTAAGTTAGAGAACGCGTGATAGTGATTGATGGAGTAGATGACAAAAAGCACCTCATTTCAAGATCTTAATACAAATAAATAACCCTTTGAAATATCTAAGCACATTCAAAAGAACATTCCACTATTTGGGTGCATGTGTGTTATTTCAGGAGGTGTAAAAAAATAAATTATTAAGTTACCTTTTGTTGTGCCTTTTATGTAGGAAAGGAATGAAAGAATAAAAAATAAGGCACAGAGTAGGTCTGCACGACCAACAACACCTGCTACCTGTGGTAACAAACAAAGAAAAAGAAAACACATCAGCTCAGACAGTTAATTTTTGTCAATTTAAAAATAAAGAAAATCATTTTTATGCCAACCTGAACAACAAGATTGGATTTCTTCTGAATGTCAAATGAGATTTAACATAGGCCACACTGTATTATTTAAATAATACATTTAAATCAATCAACACAGATTTTTTTGGTATAGATACATTATTGCCCATGATTTATTTTTAATCTCTTGTTAAGAATGAGCTAATCTGTGTGGGCCTCAGCTAGCTGAAGTAAAAACTCAGATCCACAATGAATAACATGTAATCATATGGTAATACTATTGTAATAACTGTTACACATTTTTTTTCACTGTTTACATTATTTTAAACAAAATATGTTTGGACAATGCTAAAATAGTACAAAGCATGCACTCTGTAAGCTAATGCTAATCATTCTTTATAAACCATAGTAATTTCCAATCCATAAAGCCATGCACATTAAATGAGTTGGTGCAAAAATTGTATCTATATTTACTTCTAATCAATAAAAGATCTTAACAAATTAATTTTCTTAATAAGATAATTATAATTATATGCTTTCTTCTTCTTCTCAGTTTATGTGAGTCTTATAAAACTGAGGTCATTTATGAAAAAAAAATATGCATATAGAAATTTACCATTATTATAAATAAATGTTTGATTTGACTTGAAGAAAACACAAAGAGGCAAAGAGAAATAAGACATACAATTTTTTTGTATTAAGTTGGCTCATTTAATAAAATTAAGAGCCAAGGTATTGCTAATGCCTATTTTAAAGTTACTTAATTTAAATGTTCTCTTACACTCTCTGTGTGAACTGGATGTACAGCAAACAACAAACTGCATAAAAATGAAGATTTTGGGAAGCCATGCATAGAGTCAGCAGAAAGTATAAGGCTGAAGATGGGGTACAACATAGCTGAGACTAAACCGTGGAGCAAAATGTTGACAATGTGAAAACCTTTAGGGTGCAGTCCATCAGCAGCCCAGTAATTCCATCTTTGAATACCAAGAATATTAAAACATGTTAAATTATATAACAACTGCTTTTCATTATGAGACTTCAAATATTTTCGCCATTTTTGTTGAGCTTAGAAGGAACACAGCAAAATTATCTTTGATTTAAATGTTCAAAATATAAGCTGGTCAATTTAAATTTTACTTATATTTTTAAATAGATACTTTTTTCTTGTAGCTGTCATACAATTCTTTGCTAGATTATACTTAATTAAATACAGCTATCTGTTAAATTAATTTATCCAAATTTATTTTTTAACCAGGAGATAACACACCTGAAAGTTAAAACAGTTAACGGCCTATAAGACTTGTGACTAAGGTTACTGAGTTTTCTTCCCCAAAAGTCATTTTCCAAAAGATTTCCAAGTGGAGTACTTGGCAACAAGTCTTTGTTGTTTTCCACGGCTTCGGAATCATCAAATACAAAAGCCCCGTCATAACTGTTGGCAAAACATAAAACTGCTACCAGGAACACGATTACTCTTGCTGTAACATCACTAAAAAAATAAATAAATTCATCTTTAATTTCATGGTGGTTCCTAATTGAATACAATAATATTATTCAGCAACATTTTTGGGTGTGGGACCTACAACATTATTCATTAATGCCAATCTATGTAAAAAAAAGTTAATGTTAAGTCTTAATTTTAACTTAACAACACAAAATTAAAAAAAAAATTGTATAATTTTTTTAAAATTAAAAAAATAAGAGAATCTTCATTAATCCAAATTTATAACATCCAAGACAGAAAGAACAAAAGCCACACATTTTTTTAATTGTTTGACTATATTTTAAATATAAAAATCTCACCTGAATTTTATAAATGGAATGTTATTTTCAATATCATTTCCAATAATATCAGTCTTTTCCTCTTTCCTTTGGCTCAAGTATCTATTACTATTCGCCATTAATGGGAGGAAGAAATCTTTTTCCAAGCTGCCTTGTAAGCTAGTTAAAAAATATAGTCAAAATGAAATTGAATAAAAAATTGGTAATCAGCTAAAATATTGCTGCTAGTTAATTTAAAAAAATTAAAGTTTAATATAGAATGGACTATTTAAAAAAATTTGTAAAGACCAAATACTCAGTCCTGTTTAAACGACTGAGGATAGCATTAGGAAAATTATTAGCTTGATTAGATTTAGAAGCAATTAAGATTAGGCGAATGGAGGAATGCTTTAGGCTGGAGCTATCCATAAATGAAGTTACTGTTACACTATTTTGTGTGATTTCATTAACCTCCTCTCCCCCTATCATCACAAATGTGTACGCAATTAAGACACCATCATATTACATGGTAACAAATTCATGACACCAACCCCCCCCCCCTTTTTTTTTCCCCACATGATGTCATTTATGTATGGCCACTGTCATATTTTCAGGACATAGTTTTTTTAGTCCCCTGCCCATGCGCCCTAACTCTGAAGGGGGTATTTCAAAGTTGGCGCGTAGCCATAGAGATAAATAATAATTAGTAGCGCAGCCACCACCACCCTCTGAAAGTGAAAGTTTAAATTAAACCAAGGTCTGGACCTGGCCTGGTAAGTAACTGTTATTTGGTTATAGTTATAGTAACACCATTACTTAATATTATATTATTAGGGGGGCATTCAGGATTGTGGCATTAATAGATAAAATAAAAGGCGAAGATTACATGATGAAGCTGAACAACAATTGATAAATGTTCATTTAATTTAGCGAAAGTTGTATAAAAAAAAAAAAAACCCAATGCCAATTTATATGTTCAAAGTTGAATGAAATGTGTTGTCGTACTCAACAAAAAAAAAAAGGCGAAGATTACATGATGAAGCTGAACAAAAATTGATAAATGTTCATTTAATTTAACGAAAGTTGTAAAAAAAAAAAAAAAAAAAAAACCCAATGCCAATTTATATGTTCAAAGTTGAATGAAATGTGTTGTCGTACTCAACAAATGACGTGAAAGTGAAAGAAATGTCGTTCATTCATTCATTATTATTATTATGTTTTTAGTTCAAGTTAAGTTTAAATATTTTTAAAGAATAAAGTTATTTGAATTGTTAAATATGAATTTACAAAACAATATTTTGTAATATAGTCTAGTTGTAATTTGGCATTTCATTCAGTCAAAGAAAAAACAAGGGGAGAGTGAAACTTCTTACTTTCACATTCATTGAGTTTTATACCTGTCTTTAGTGTTCCTTCTTTTTAACGTAAAATTTAAAAAATACGGATTGGATTCTAGAATAATAAAGAACAAATAACAAATTTACCTTTAGGACAAGGAATAAATAATATGAGAAAAATTAAGTCAACGCCGGCCTTCAGGGTGGCCATAGGGGCGCCCAGTAAATATTTAAATTCCCTTAGTTTATTCTAGTGAAGTGTGAACCTCGGGTCTGGGATCGAGAAACGGTATTCTAACTTTTCGTATACCTAATCGCTTTTCATTCAATTAATGAGTTTTCATACAATGAAAGTTGCATTCTTAATTTGTATACACACTGGTGTTGGGACCAACCGAATGGGCGTGGAAACTAACTTATTTATACCGTATTTCCTTGCCCCTCTTACAATTATTTCAGCAGAAAGAATAGGTGAAACAAAAAGCATTCCGGCTTCAGGGGCGCACAATCGTAAGCGCAAAGCAGAAAAATTAAGTCGTAATCGGAAAAAAGAGCGGAGCCATACAGGGACAGGAAAGTGGGCACCGCACGGGTGCTTCGCAGAGGGCGTAAGTTTACTTAAGACCGACGTTAAGTGATTTAAATAATGCATTACTTAAAAATAATAAAATGACACACTGATATCGTTTTTTTTTATTTTTTTTTTCAAATTTAAAGCTATACAAACGCTAAAAATAATTCAGTAGTAGTAGGCCCACATCGAAATGGAAATGCCTGGTTAAATTTGTTTTAAATGTAGGCCTATGTTATAGGCTACATGAGACATGGTACAGCAGATCAGGGCAGAGTTGCTTATTGGGGTGGGGGCATCTAGAAAAAGGGACTGCTTCACATTTCCTCACTAGCTTTTATTTACAAAACTTAGATTTTAAAAACAATGAAATGAAATATTTTCTTCAAAGTGTTCTACTTTTAAAAAAAAAAAAACCATTCCCAACGTAACTTATCACAGAGAGTACAGCTGCATTGTTAAAGACGTAAAGACATTAACACATGGAAACGTACACGATCCAGGACCAGCTGTTTACAGTGTAATTCAATGATTGACGATTTGCGCATACTTTGATAGTGAGATTAGAGATGGGAATCGAACCGCAACGGAGCAGAATGCTCCTACCGACTTCTTCTGTAGGGGTGGTCTGTTTATTTTTCACCTACCTTTTTCTAATGCATTATTTTTCAATATATCATATCGCTATATGTAACACAAAATACTTTGACAGGAAAATAATTTTAGAGCTCTTTAAAAAAAAAAAAATCAATTTGTAGCGGGCCTTAACTG